TTGTTTTATGCCTCAGACAAGTGTACCGTTGGCCACACACCATGTCACATGACGAACATGAACCAGACTTGGTGCACCCCTTGATTTCCTGTACACACCTATTCCGTAATGCTTGCATCACGTGTGACTAACTTTGAACTGTAATACAAGCATTCCTAAACGTCAGTCAGTGAATACCATGGAATGAGTGCTCCTGCAGTATATCGACAAAGCCCTAGTCACAAGACAGGAAGAAGACCCAATGATACCATAAATTTATTGCCCCTCGCCTTGGAGCCATTGTGATTGCAAAATGATCAAGACGTTGTGTCATTGAAATACATTGAAATCTGGAGGAAAGAGAGATGGTATGACAGTTTACTGCAGTATTTGTTACTCTTTGTCAATGTTTCAATTACCCTTTATTACTACTCAGTATAAATGGTGGAAACTGACAAAGTATTATTCGTTTTCGTTTCTTTTAAGACGAGGGTCCTAATTGACTAAAGTGAAATCGACCAATAAAGCGAATTCGAATTTCTTGGAAATATAAAGGAATGCATGATGTTTTGTTGTTGTTTTTTTTCTTTTTACAATTAACCACAGTTTTTATTACAAATTATCACGCATGTCTCTCAGGATGACAAATCAAAACTGAGGTTTTTGTTTCGGTAAGCAATAGGTGGTAGCACTTATAGGGTAAAGTGGAACAAACACTCGAGTTGTTTAAGATATGAAGGAATGAGAGATGTTATTTACATTACAGCACCTGCCTGTGAGGCCCGTGATGTCAATCACTGGATGGTCTAGACAAGACCCGAGTGTTTACAGTCCGCCTTCATACATCTGGAGTATTGTTAGGTGCGGCCTCAAACAGTCACAGATACACATCTAAAGTATGAATGATGGAAATTGTCAAAATATAACTCGGTTAACGATGTCATTGTTGGTTTCCTCTGGTCATATTGTTATTACAAGTTACAAGTGGTTATTACAACCATTACAGTTTAAACTCAGTTGGCAACGGTTTACCGTATTTTTTATCATATTTTTAATCAGTGTCAAGTTATTACAATTCACCACAGTATTATTACATATTAACATGTTTTTTTGCTGTTCAACGTCGCAGTCAGCAATATTCCAGCTACATGGCGGCGATCTGTATATTTATTCGAGTCTGGTTCAAACAACCCTGTGATGACTATCGATCTACTGGGATACGATGACACGTATCAACCAAGTCATAGAGCCTGACCTACCAATCAAGTTAGTCACCTCTTGCGACACGCATGGGTTGCTGAAGACCAATTCCAACAGGAAATGTTGTTAGAATTTACTGCAGTTGTTACTGCATTGTGCCACATCTTAGTAAAAGCTAAATCTAATTACCAACTCAACCACTTAGTATGAATGGTGGAATTTGGGGGATTAAAAGTCTCGATTTATTTCATGCTATGGTGGTGGTGGTCGGAACTAGGACCAGACCATGGTGAAACTCGACGTGTCATTATCCTGCACTGGATTCGAAAATTTCATCAACCAAACCCGTTTAAATAAGGTAACCATTTAACATACTTAAGGGGCACTGATTTCTGCTTCAGCCTGGCAGTCTTACACTGCCAGCTAAGACTCATCAACTGATGTGAGATGATTTGCCAGCGGGCGCACCTGAGCGTTACATGGGACTGGGCTACTGTCTGTACGGTCAGCGGATATATACTTTGAGACAATGTTAATAAGCATACACGCATACCGAGGGGAGCTACCTGATTAATGTGTTCAACCTGAAGCAGACAAAATGGACGGTGGATGTCCATTAGATGTCGTTATTTTGAGATGTAGATGATTGTTCTCGTCTGATTTTAATAAAGTATGCCAGCAGTGTAAGCATTCGGATTTCCGATGTCTGAATGCTATGATGACGGGTATGGATTTGATCCTATTTCTGTGTCTTGTGCCATATCATACTAATGTCATCACTGTGTCACATGACCTAAAATATTGCACATTAGCTAGAATATATAGCACAAATGTATCTATTACGAACATACATATGTGAACACACTTATTAACTTTAGTACATAGAAAATACGTGTATATATTTGCAATAAAACTATTCGTAAATTAAATATTAGCGCTACTTGCAACAATGAAGGCCCGTTCCTGTCCTTAAACAACAACGGTGTTTCAGTTTTTTAGGCAAGTAAAATGCATCCAATCCAACGGTTACTATTCCCTTGTTGTCATCCATGTTTGGTGGTATAAACCTACACCTGTATATTTGTCATCATTCACTTGATGCTCAGTTAATGAATTTTGTACAGGCATAATTAGTGGTAACACCACTCAGATTGCCAAACAAAGGTTCCCTTTTTTCAATTCTCGTGTCTGGGGTTGTTCTCGTGTCTGATGCTATGTATGTGGAAACGCAGTTGATTTCCAAAAGAAATCGATCAATGGATTAACCGATAACACCGATATCATGAGTATAGATGGCACGCCTGATATCTCGGCTGACCAATGAGACTCTTCGCCAGTGTGAACAACCTGAAACAGTATTACGTGAAACCATCACGAGTTGCACTGATACAGATGTGTTTGATTGTGTTCCTTTCTGTGGGTATAGTTGGATACTTTAACCGAATAAAGTAACTGCCTGATATTACTGATGTAACGTTAGGTTTCTTCTTTTTTTTTTCGAGCATTGAAGAGAATTATTTCAATTCGTTTATGTTATCGTTGGGATTTTTTTAATGCGAGCCAGAAAACACTGAATCGTTGATTTCACAAGCTTTGTGATTGTATGTGACTATGATCCACTCAGGCAATTTACACAAAGCTTACATATTACATACATATTACATATATTATGTGGCTCCAAAGTGCATAAAACATAATAACCAATTAATTACGCTTTTGTTATGCACCAAACATGTACAGTCGTGCATTGACTTCCGTTTTACTTTTAGTCACTGGGAGATGTGACGTCTAATCATTATAAACTAGACGGACATAATTTGCAGCCAGTTTGCAAAATACCCGAGATGTTAAGGGGTCGCGAAGTGTGTTACATTTCCTAATTAATTACAAGATGAAGTTTTCATCGTTGCTGATCAGTGTGAGGATATGTACCATCAATATTTACCATGGTGGCAAAGAAAAGTCAACCTCGAATTATCCGATATCAGCCGGGTACCCACCATAACAAAGCAACGACCAGTACTAAGGAATTGCTCTAGATCGCTGCCTCTTTAATATTAAGATGGCCTTACTTTATATTCACACGCAGAGCTAGTCCAGTTGACTCTTAAAAATGCAAAGCATTTGCTTGAATTTTTTAAAGTTCCCCCAAAGAAAAGCAAATTCATTCAATTCCAGATAACACATTTACGGATAAACTTCATTCATGGGTCATTTGATACTACACGTGGTAACAATAGGCAACGTTACATATCTATTTTCAGTGCTGCAGGAAAGCATTTTAAAGTGATACTATATGCCATCTGTGGAAAACAACTGGGAAAACAATACGTGAAATGTTGGGCGTCCTCATTGATAATATCTTTGTAAAATATGGGAGAAACACATGTTGGCACGAGGTAGCCCTGTGGGCACCAGTTGTGATCCTTGCTGATGTGTTTCTTTATGCAAATAATTCTGATCTTCTGCTTGGATTGGCAACGTCAAATCAAAGCAATTTGGCCAAGAAGTTTTACATATGCATCAGGTGTATCGATGATGTGATATCGTTCAATAACAATCAAACAGCCAATTCTCTTCCACTGATTTACCCGCCTTATAAACGACACCAGAGAGACCGTCTCATCTCATGCATATCAGTATCTTTGATCCAGGATCCACATTCAGTCTGACAAATGACATTCCCCAAACTTGTGTGACACGAGGGGTAACTTCAACAATTTCAGCAGTCAACTTTCCTTTTTTATGTAAAGCAATATTGCAGCATCTCCAGCTTTTGATATCTATATTCATGCAGTACAAACGAGCCTGGTTTTTCCCCGACGTGTATAAGGTTTTGCTTTATCAATGCTACAACATTCAAAGTCTCAGTTAAGCTTTCAACACATGTTATAGTCGATACGCGAAAAACATTTCCATAGTTTTAGGCATCTGTGACAAAAAATATAACATGATATAATATGATGCCGTTTTGTTGACTTTTGTGTGAAGATTCTAATCGGTGTAGCAGGATACCCGCTCCTTTTGTGAACACCTGGTGTCGTCATCATTTGAGAGTATTTCAGTTTGATCATGTTCAGTGTATGGTCTGTGTAGAAGAGTCAGTATTGGGCAGACATTTCGCATGGATATTGTTGCCTATATGCAGAATGTATAAAGTGTCTACTGAAGTGTCCTACCTGGCATACAGATGTAAACATGTTATACAGAAACGCACTTAGGAGTCATGTGTACGATGTCAACGAGCATTTTATGGCCGACTCCCAAGCTAATTCGTAATGGACCTTTACTATGCGGGTGGTTAGTCACATTTAAAACCAAACTGACAATAATATATTGCTTGAGTAATAAGCTGTCCTAAACGTAGCCTATTCTGAACTCTTAAATGGACGAGACAAGCCCGGGCGTTATGCATGTGACAATGTGTGCTGCGCCTCACCAGTGCAGGTGTCAGACAGACTCATGTACGATGTATACATGTAGACAATTATAATTGAAATCAGATATGTCGTCTCAAACCATATATTTGGAGTGTTAACGTGCGAAGCTGTCACTTAAATTGTGTTGAAATGCATGTCAGTTTAAATGTACGCTGATGAAAAATGTTTTGCTGGGATGCTGCTTGTTCAAGTGTAGTGAATTAGTGCAATGAGTATTTCCGTTTCGCATTGTGATGTTTGTCTGATGTTGACTGACGATAAATACACCATTGTGACGAGATGTCATGAGGTTGGCGGTCTTTCGCTATAACAGTGATGAAATAAAAGTTTCATAAACATTGAAGTCATGGACTGAAAACAATCTTCACGGATAAAACGACAAAATGATAAGGCGTTTATGAAATCCTGTTTACACGAGTATACTTCCCTGCTCAACACGGGGAATTGAAGGATTATATGGCTTCCTAAAACTGGAACAGTTGACATCATGTCTAAATGTTTCCCTCCACTGCTTGTGAAGGTTTGGATGAAACTAGGTTTATGTGGCAGACAACATGACCGCTGGTCCTTTCTGTGCCGGCTAAAGGAATATATTATTATTGCAAGTTAGTCAAGATTGATTTTGTTACATGCATCCTTGTGATAAGGTCGTATTCTAGACACAGACACATAGTACCATCCATGATCATAAATCGTTCTACAGAATGAGATCGGAGCACTGAAAAATACTGGTCATTTCTGCTTTGAGTTATATTTTTATTTCCAAGCCAATGTTAAAAGTGTAGTTAGGTCTTTCTTTATTCACTGTTGCTTTCATTAAATGTATTTACGTACGTATTTACTTATGGCAACAATAAATGTTTTATGTAGCTGCTTGGAATTATGAATTGTTCTTTGAGTGTAGAAGGCACCGAGTGATTACGATACTGCATTACTCAACTCTTCCTATAACGCTGATGATGGTAGTGCTTCTCCATTCAACCCCGCTAGAATATTGCTTACAGTGAGATTACACATTCGGTTTCTTGTGGTAACCGTAGCGCTGCCCAGGTGGGGACTACCAGGCAGTTGTCAAGACTCAGCAGGGGGTGGTCCGCCGGAAGTGGCTCGGGGGAAGTGACGTCAAGGGCAGCACCACCAATGACCCCAGTGGTCAGCGCCTCGTACAGATCCTCCTGGTTTACTAATACCCCACGAGTAATATTCACAAATATCGCTGTTGCCTTCATCTTGGCAAAAACACCTCTGTTGAAAAGACCTTTATTCCCTTCGTTGATAGAACAAGCTGCAATGACGAAGTCTGATTCCCTGAGGAGCTCATCAAAGGGGACGAACTCAGCACCAACCTGGCCGGCGTCGTCCTTCGGGCCGCTGCCACAGTAAATGATACGAGAAGGGTCAAATGACGTCAGCCGCTTGGCCACTGCGAGTCCAATTCTTCCAAGCCCAACTATTCCCACGACAGACCCCCCGATCTCCTTCCCAGTCATTCAGAGGGCGTTGTCCCATCGCGTCCCCCACACGCTGCTGTGTATAGCTCTCATTCCTGCAAGAAGTGTAAGGTTTGTGAGCAACATCATTGTCATCCACGTACACTACAGAAGAAACACAAAAGAGGTATTGTGAATGTTGGTTTTGTTTAAAAACGTAACATTCAGTACAGATGCAAAAACTTGAATTGAACGATTTTAATCACGTTCGTTATCTGGTTTAGTGCACAAACACAACCGTGCTAAGCCTTTGCAGATTTCTACAGCAATTTAACCAAATATCGTCCTACAAGTGGTAGACTACTATTCACCACGCCTGCACAAAATCGCTAGACCCGGGCCTTCCATCAACGTCATCGTCATGGTACTGCCATCGAGACTGTATGAGAAACTGGCGCCGAGTCTACGAGTGAATTACCATTTCTTCTCTAACGCCGATATGAAAGACACCGTTTCTACCTATGTCGAAATCAACATTGTGCACTGAACTGCGTTTGGCGGGTCGACAGATTCGGTATCGGAAGAGTGATGTGGGGAGTCACTTTGGGGTGGTTCAGGGGAATAAGACCAAATGCTGCGGAGAAATACGTCTCATCTTTTAAGTATACACACAATAAGTTTGAAAAAATGTTATCTGTATAAATTAAATCAATACTAGGTTTGTGCAAGTAGCTAAAGTATAATGTTAACTATTACATACCTGGTTTGTGTTTTCTGGCAGCAGCCAAGACGAGACCCACAGCATGTTCCGCCACTGCTGACGTCAGCACGTTGGGGGTGTAGCCAACAGCCACTCCACGGCGTCGGCACTCTTCCCTATCAACGTGGTCTAAGCCTACAGACATCGTGCCCACGACCTTCAGTTGTGGACCTGAGGCAGAGATGACAACAATGTACAGAACCCCGTGAAATATGAAAACAAACTGTTGTCAGTACCACAGGGGCTTGTAACGCTAAAAACTGCCATCAAAGTATGTACTGTCACTAACGGGGTCGTATCACTATATAAAAAGAAAGGGATGTAACTAGGTCAACACATCAAGTTCGTTTCAGGGCGAATTCAACAATGATCAATGTATCTGTCCCATGCACACGTCACACATATCAAGCCAATAGATTTACCTACAAAATAAGACATGGAGCACAAAAATCGAAGCAGTACTTTGGGAGCTAGGGTCTTCGGAAGCTCGAAAAATAGTGATTTCTCAATTCCGAGCCAAAATCCCTGCTCATAATTTGTAGCGGTAGCTCACCCAATTCTTTGCTTATTTCACAGAATACATAAAACGACATGCACCAAAACATGTTGAACTGATGGCACCTGTCAGCGCGCTAGTCGCCATCCTTTCGGAGACATCACACTTCACTGTCATAATGAGTTTACGTACATTTATTCATCGCAAACAGAATTGTGTCGTGCCCGTTCGCCATTCACGACCTTGGCCTTAAACTTCCCCGCACTGAAAAGAGCAAAGGAGCTCATTGGCTATGAATAAAATATGTACCATCAGATCGCGGACTCTTTTCAGTGCGGGGCAGCTTAAAGCCAAGGTCGTCAATGGCGAACAGTGTCGTCAATGGAGAATTGTGTTGTGTCAGTACTATTTTCACTGCAAAATTACCACGCCAAAGATATGGTGTACACACGTTTGTCAACCTCCACCCCTTGTACCATATACCACCATCTCGTCCTGCCTTATTGTTGGGTAGACAGAGACACATTTGGAACATAGTCCTTGTTTCAGGGGATATCACAGGATGTGCCTCGGTGTGAGGAAGGACAAACAAACATGAAACTCTTAAGCCACCAAACGCTGTCATCCATACAATTATTCCCAACAGAGATCTGGGATATTGAACCATAGATCATAATTCCATGCAAACTGTACATAGCCCCATGGTATTGACACAAACGATATACTATGTATAGTTTCTTTTAAAACTTTCCAAAATCTGTGACATTAAAACACATTCTTTATTAGATTTAGGACAAAATATATTCGCATCCTGTAGTGGCAACAAAACATTGTATGTGGTTCCATGCGTATGCATTTGTTTGTGCATGTAAATGCTTGTTCTCTCTAGTTAAATGGTGGTGTTTCTTACGGATCGTCACACGTAACATGATTCGAAGATATGATATTAGTGAGTCTACTGAGGGGATCCCGGGGAAGATTAGATGGATCAATTCGATCTGGGGGGTGAATCAAGATGGCGTTGGGCTTGACTTGCCTCACCTTCTCAACAAATGTCTCCTGTTGGATGTTCCCCTACCCCTCCCACTCAATGACGTTACACACCTCCCGCAGGCGGGCTGCCCCTGAGGGTGGTACACCTCTAGCAATAAACACAACGGGACGCGAACTTCCACTCATCGCGGACATCGGAAAGCTGGGAAAGGGAGGTTACTCTTATCTGTGTTACCAGCGCTATAAAGAGGGACTTCAGCATGTTACGGATCACATGAATATGCCTCGTGTCGTTTCGTTTCACTGACGAGTATCTACAAAATAAATCACCTGTCTTTGAACTGGATGACAGAGGCGGAGATATGCGCTAGAACTCGGAACACGGAATAGCAGAATAAAAAAACATTATTTTTTCTTTTGTTCATCCTCTTCACTGAGCTTGCATATTCCATGTCAATTATGACGTATTAATTTTCAAAGGTGGGGGGGGGGACGATATTTGGTTAAATTGCTTACTTGCTTACTTGGGAATTTTAAGATAACAAAAGTTGTACATGTCATCCATGAAGTATCTAACCTTTCTTATTCAGGGGTGGATACAGCTTATGGAGAAAGGGATGGGGTGCGCACACTCTTGAGAAGGGAGTGTGTGTGTGTGTTGGGGGAGGTGTGCACATTTCATTTTCACCGGTTTTAAATGAACATTTTATCAACTTTGAGGTCAAAAGTGGGGTGCGCACCCCTGCCCCTCCCCATCTCGAGGTCAGCCTATATTATTGCTCATCAACCTTTAATATGCTAAGAAACAGATAAGACCCATTATAAGTGTGCATCTTAATGCTTATAACCTGACCCGCCTCTTGTCACAATCATTGGTTGCTTGAGCCCAATTATTACCTGTAAAAGCGACTGTAAAATCATGAGTTGAGGGGATCTGTGGTTGTCCTTTGCATTCAAGATCATGTATGATAAAGTGAGTGAGTGAGTGACTTTAGTTTTACGCCACACTCAGCAATATTCCAACTATATGGCGGCGGTCTGTAAATAATCTGGTGGACCAGACAATCCAGTGATCAACAACATGAACATTGATCTACGCAATTGTGAAACGATGACATGTGTCAACCAAGTCAGCGAATCTGACCACCTGTTAGTCGCCTCTTACGCATGGATTACTGAAGATCAAATCTAACCCGGATCTTCACGGGTGTATAATAACAATACAACGTGTCTTCCTGCGCTAGTTCGGAATAATGCCAGGTTTGTAGTAAAACTAATGTGACATCGGAAGAGTGTAGTCAGTCGGGTATTCTGTTGAAGCGATCATTTGTACGCGAAACACAAAACAGAGGAGACAATGACGTGAACGGATGTGTGTGTGTGTGTGTGTGTGTGTGTGTGTGTGTGTGTGTGTGTGTGTGTGTGTGTGTGTGTGTGTGTGTGTGTGTGTTTGTGTGTGTGTGTGTGTGTGTGTGTGTGTGTTCAGAGTGCATCAGTTCTATAATTAACAAACGTTGTAATGAATCAATCCCAAACAACCAATTCGTATCATGTCATAGCAAGGAAGCCCATTTATGGTGTCCCCCGCCGTGATATTGCAAGTATATTGCTAAAAGCGGCACAAACCCATAATCACTCACACATTCATAGCAAGAAGTCTGTGAAGTCTAAGGGGGATCTTGGTGTGTGGTCAACGACTCATGCATATTGCTGCATACGACATAGCAGCCAAGTCTAATCTTGAGGCGTGTGTGTACATTACTATATAGACGTCTCATTTGCAGTATAACACTATCCGTCCGTTACGCAGTAATTAGCTACACTGGAATTTTAAGTCTGTCTGTTACTTTAGATGTTTTCTGTTACTATGGGTGACATGTTGGTGCCTGGAATGTGTATGTCCGCGTGAAACAAGAAACGTATCGATATCCGGTGATCCGGCAATACTTGATCGCTTTTGTGATAACCAATAGTATCAGCGGATTAGTTTTGGAAGCTGTATCAAAAAGCATTATAAAAGGAAATGTCTGAACCAAATCTTTATGGTGCTTCAATGAAATATATTATTTCTTGGTATTTAAATCATAGTGGAGGAGAGCTGACCAACCATCCAATTGACAGTGACCAATCGTGTGTCAGGTCAAGACAATATTTGCTCCTCTTTCGGGGCTCTCCCTTCCGGTGGATGTTTCTAAAGACTAAAGGGCATATCTCTGTTTATTGCTTTGGAAAATGTAATCAGGGTAAACCAAGATTCTGCCTCCACGATCAGACGGGATTCACTCAGTCACTCACTCTTATTAACTCCATCCCGTGACGATCTGGGTAACAACTGGTCTTCAGTAACCCATGTTTTCCGTCGGTGTGTAAATAATGGAGTCTTGACCAGACAATTTAGTCATCAACAGAATGAGCATCGAGCTACGTAACTGAGGTACGATGACAGTCCGAACCCCAGCTTCACCTTGATTGTTATCCCGTCTCTGTCAGCATCTGTTGACAGTCAACGTGTGATCTCATGTTAGCCTGACCCGCTCACTTCCTTCACGATCACACAGATTTCTTTCTTATACAAACAAATCTGCACTGAACATAATAACGATTGTTAGTGTTATGTTGGTATGGCTAGATTAGTAAATATATCTTCACTTATGTCCAGTCCCTGGGCTTTCTATAATGAACTGCACAAAGGAAGGAATATAATGTTATGATTGTTTGTTTGTTTAACGCAGCACACAGAAATTCTGCAGTTTTATAACGGCGATCTGTAAATAATCGAATCTGACCAAACATCGGGTGAGTAATAGACATTTGTATTCAATAAACGTGTCCACATTGGCTTCCGCCCCCTTGACATTAGCACCGACCCCAGCGGAACACAATTAGGCATTAATGTGCTTCTCCATGTCAATGTTCGTCCTGGTGTAGCCCTCCTTGAACAGCACAAGTAGTGGTATGGAAAATACTACTGTTCCGAGCACACACCAATTCATCCAAGTAACACCTGAAAAGAACACCAGATGATTGTAGCTGTGTTAATATTTTCAGTTTTACACCCCCTCCCTCTCTGGATCATGAACGGAAATATCTAACAGCTTCATCACTTCACTTTCCTCCAGTATAAGTAGTCGCCATAGCAGCGTTAAAGCCTCGAGAAACGCAAATTGCTCCTCCGCCCGCACGGGTCCCACAATGTGACTTGACGCAGCTTATTCACCCTACACAAGAATGCCTTAAAGATAGGAATTGTTACGTTAGGAACATTGCATAAGGTCACTCTTCTATTTGCCTGACTATCGTTACTTGACATCAACATCTCATTATAATATGTACCTATGTCAGTTAGTGTACATTTATAACTTGGAAGAATGGTGGATATGGGGTGTACGAAGTCATAGGTCATGAGTGTTGGGTTATCGTCAGGCGGGCCCATAGCGTCTGGTGAAGTATAAGGCGTACAAACGGTTAGCTTTCCATATCTGGTGTTGATGGAGGTAGGCACAGCGCTTAGCAACGTAGGACTCCTTGACACAGTGTTACCTGGTAGTGGATAGTGTAAAAAGTGTGTTGCCAGATCCTCGGTGTAGATTTGTTCCCGGATTATAGGTCAAGTCTACAATGTTTACCCGGTGATAAATTTACATGAAAATGTGCTTAATTTGGGTACACGAACTCAACTGAATAGATCTTACCTTTGTGATATTTCTGTTAACTGCACAGATTTGTAAGAATGGAAGACGAAAGTGTATTCTGGGAAACAAACTTTGCAAACATCACATTAAAGATAGAGAGGGCTTAGAGGTTCATTACTGAACAGCCATGAATGTCATCGTTACTTGTGGACTGTGGAGAGTAATTATTGTCATATCTGTCTGTTTTTTTATATAGAACCGGTCATTTCTTACCTATTGCAGGTATCTGTAGAATAGAGAGGAAGATGGTGCCGGTCAGGTTGTTAAACAGGGTGAGCATGCCGGTAGTGACGCCCTCGGCTATAGGGTAGGATGCCTCACATCCCAGCTCGTAGAACAACGGCACAGATCCCGGAATGAACACTCCAATCAGGATGAAGGATATGTACAGAGACGCTGGGGAAGTAGAGAGCATTGTTTATGTACCAATCCACACAAAGTATTAAAAAGCCATCAGTTCCATCTCGTACGTTCCAACAGCATTTCAGAAATTACATATCTCAGTGATGCATTATTTGTTAATATGTCGTCAAGCTGCCTAAACTCACTTATGCTGAAGGGGACGTATGAAAGACGTATCAGCACGAACCAGACCGTTGCTGATGTAGCCAGGAAGAACATCAGCAACAGCAACATCTTCATGTGACGCATGAACATATCGGAGACTCTGACAAGAAAGGAGCACTGTGATTTTTAATCCATTTCAAATGAAGCTTAGGCCATTACACGAACAAACTATAATGGCTATTAAGAAAAGTTAATTCCATTGGTGAACACACTTGTCAAAACGCATAATTTTAGCAATTATCATTTTATCGTTGTACACCACTATCCGACACGATATACCTCGGAGAAGCATGATCAAATATATGGGTCAATACTTATTTCTATATTCACATCTCCTATCCTCAGAGTGAGTGAGTGAGTGAGTGACTACGGTTTTACGCCGCTTTTAGCAATATTCCAGCAATATCACGGCGGGGACACCAGAAAGGGGCTTCACACATAGTGTCCATGTGGGGAATCGAACCCGGATCTTCAGAGTGACGAGCGGACGCTTTAACCATCAGGCTGCCCCACCGCCCCTGTCCTCAGAGGTTCAGGTCACTTTTGCCATTGGGAAGAACTGGTTCATATCTTGTACATACCAGTCATTAATCCCAACGTTCGGGTACTCTTACATCCATTTAGTCCCTTCTGTATTGAACAAAAGGAGAATGTATCATTGTCACCAATACAGTCCTCACCATTGTATCAACCACTTTTGCATCAACATGTGAGAACACAATATGTATTGACAGAACGTGTACCTGGATATGAGTAGGCCGGTCAAACAGCCCCCCATCGTGGCGTAAAACCCCATCCAGCCTGCCTGGTTCTGTAAAACAATAGGGATATATGCGATTATCCAGGAATTATGTTGTATGTATTTTGAACTATTTTCATACTGACATGGCCACAACCCGTAGTCACCCTGACAATTTTCATCACTATAATGCCTCTATTCTCCATCACGGGATGGAAATGACACCATATTCATAAGAGTAGAAATGTTCAATTTGTAAATTTGTATATTTTACTATTTTCATACTGAGGGACATGAAAATCACCATAATGCCTCTATTCCAAGTAATACCCATTAAAAGTATCTGTTGAATGAAGCCTCCATTGTAATAACATCTCCATTTTTTTTTTTAAATCCTTGTGTTTTGTGACAATTATGTGGTTATTATTAACTTGTGAACACTGGGAAGAATTCCGGCACACGCCGTGAGTGAGGGTGTATTCATGACTCGCCTGCGTCACGTTGACTTCCTCCAGATTGACGTCTAAAACTGCCCCGAATGCAGCGAATACCCCCGTAGGTACTCCATACGCCATCAGGATCAAAGGGAAGCGCTTGTGTCTAGAACAGGAACGTCACTGGTTTATGCTTATACCTTAGAGGACAATACTACCGGCTACAGCCTTAGGACACCTGAACTGTCCAGTCCTACTCTGTAGGTTAATAGTTCTCTTATTGGTAGCTGCGAGGGTGTGAATGAGATGAGACTTACGTGAACAATCCTTTGAGCCCCTGCAGGTAGCTTGTTCTCTCCATGGACGCTGTGAGACTAGGGGGAGAGGGGGGCTTTGCGGGGAAGTACACCACCACCAGGAGCAGCAGCAGCACACACGCCGCACATTCTGGAGCAGAGACATCACACGTTCTTCTGAACATTGGCAGCTTACAAGCCAACCATACTGTCTCTCACACAGAGCATTGTGAACATAGTCTAGTCCTCACCTACATACATAAGGAGCATCAAACCATCCCTCTCGGCGCTGACATCAATGGCACTGGTGATGTTCGGTGGTTGATCCGCCTCATCGCTGGAGTAGCTGCAACCAGGTATAACAACATCATACAGACCACGCTGTACTCTGCTGACAGACCAGAGGCCCAGATAAGCTGCGTATCCGGGTAAAATACGCATAGAAAATTTCCAATTACGCATTGAAAATTATTCTTGCGTACCAATTACGCATTTAAAATGTTAGATACGCAAAAAGCAAAAGGTTTAAAACAAATGCGTACGGAATATATTTATAAAAATCGCTTGCGTTATGAAAAAGACATCGATTGCTATCAAGTTGTACTGTTAGTATTATAGGACAAGCGTTGTGCTGTCAGTATAGGATGAGTGATTTTTTAAGAAATCAGTTCCATTATATTTAAGTTGGTTTTGATTAGGTATGACATAAGGCAGAACATACCTGCTTAGTAAACTTACTCAATGACATAATACTTAGGTGAGTAAAATGACTGAAATACGCACATATTTGAAAGCAGTGGGTAACGGAAAATGAAATACCCACTCAACATTCATAATACCCACTCCAAAAAAATACAGTGGGTACAGTACCCATATAAGCTAAATCTTATCTGGAGCTCTGCAGACAATAACACAAATCTTTTAAACCTCGTTATAATATTAGAACGGATACAAACCAAAACATGATTATATAAATAGTAACAACAAATAGTCTTACTTTAGTGGCTGTATATCTGACATATTCGTGACTCGGTCTGGCTGAGGCACCAACAGGGGACCTACAGTGGAAGAGACAGTCGTGTATATATTACTGAACAACATCAAGTATCTGATCATTATACGTCAGTTACTGGTGTCCCTCGCCCTTATATTGCTGACATAATACTCCAAACGTCTAAAAGACATGATTGATCATACACATGACAGTTCTCATCGTGTTATCGAACAAATAAATATGCGCTCATAACAATCAACAACTGATTATATAACGGAGAATTCACAGACTGCTCGTTCATCTCACAAACACCAACACAGACAACTGTCAAGACAGTTTACAGTAGTTTTATGCTATATTCATGTCGTGGGCACAGCTATATTCTCCCCTTATGTACAACTCTCATAGAGAAACCTATTCCTCGATTAGTCAACCTAATTTAAATTGAAAATTATTGACATGTTTAGCCCATATTCCATGTAAATTTAGCAGGAAAAAGCTAAAAGAGAACGTTTAATGTGCACATGTTTACCATCCGATTATGCAAGTTTACGTGTTCGCATGAAACTATATACGTGGCCTCTCATACGTATAGAATAACGTTAAACGTGGACGGTATCTATACCTGTCTGTATGCCTCTCTCTACATTGGACATATGCCTGTAGCTAGGCTGTGTGTATCGAGCCTATGCCTGTATCAATACGTCACTATATGTTGTACATGTCTGTCACTATGTCTGCATCTATGCCTGTAGCTAGGCTGTGTATCCGTGTCTATGCCTGTATCAATACGTTACTATATGTTGTACATGCCTGTCACTATGCCTGCATCTATGCCTGTAACTAGGCTGTGTGTGTCCGTGTCTATGCCTGTATCAATACGTCACTATATTCTGTACATGCCTGTCACTATGCCTGCATCTATGCCTGTAGCTAGGCTGTGTGTGTCCGTGTCTATGCCTGTATCAATACGTTACTATATTTTGTACATGTCTGTCACTATGCCTGCATCTATGCCTGTAGCTATGCTGTGTGTATCCGTGTCTATGCCTGTATCAATACGTTACTATATTTTGTACATGTCTGTCACTATGCCTGCATCTATGCCTGTAGCTATGCTCTGTGTATCCGTGTCTATGCCTGTATCAATACGTTACTATATGTTGTACATGTCTGTCACTGTGTCTGCATCTATGCCTGTCCTTATGCCTGTGTGTATATGGCTTTGTCTTTGTTTTTGTCAACAATCATTGTCAACGAAGTAGTGAGTGAATTGTGTTTAGAGCTGTTTGAGCAGTATTTTATGAAAGTCAGTATGAGTAGGCTAAATGTGGCATGAGCAATATAATTCTGGGACGTGAACCTCTATGGTGAAACCATGTGTCTGAATATATGACATACCCACTCATAATTAGGGCAAATCTTGAATTTCTAAATATATCCACCATCGGCGGTTTTGAGTAACCAATACCGGTCACAAGGACGACTTAAGGTCAGTATCGGTAACTTTCATACAGGCGCGCAAGTTGTTTGCTTAACCGATATAGTTTACATTTGTTTTAGGCAACTTCTTCTAACCTATTATAAATCCTCCAGAGATTCCCATGTATCCGAGGACGGTGGAGACGGCCGTGGCAGTGGCTCTCTGGTGGGGTGGGAACCACGTGGCGGACATCAGGGTCGGGCCAGCGAACGTTACGGTGCCGGCAACACCATTCAATATGGCCGCAATGTTGATCAACCTACACCGAAAACACAAGGAGTAATAAAGACGCATTTTAGGTCACATTAAGCACAAGTGTACAATCTAAATGTCAACGTATCGATTTTTGCTCGAGCAACATTAATTGACAAATTATGAAAACAAACAAAAGGGCTTTCATTCATGGTACCAATGAGGGTGTGTGTGACTGATTTTGTAAATGTAACCATTGTGACATGATTGGCAGATAGACCAAAGTTGTTTGCCTGAATATGCCATCAATGTACATAGACAGGCAAAACGAAAAACAGATGTTCGAAACGGTATCTCACAAAACCAGCAGTTCCTCATATTAATTCATACATAACTATCTCGATAAATGTAGTGTTATCAAGACACGCGGTTATCGTGGAGATAAGTGCAGATGTCCAACATTTAATATTCATCCCCTTATCATTCGAATATTCGACCATGGTCACCTTTATCTCTGTAGCCGCATTTATAGGTTATCGCTTGAGTATGTCAGATCCATTGTGAACATTATAAATCTTCAATGAGACAATACAGCGTTGGCGATAGCAGAAATACTTTACAAGATATATGTTCTCGCTCCATCTTCATACGTTATTCATGTCCTGACATCTGGAATATCAGCTTAAATATTGTAATGCCATACAACTCTGTGCAGATACACTGACCATGTTGCAGGGACAGGCTCACTCGTGATGCATCGTAGTGACGTAGCCAGCACCAGCAGCACGGCACACAACAGCATCGACGCCCTCAGGCCTGAAAAGACATATCGTATCCACCAATAGTGACTGCATTGTCAAGTTTATAATATTTTTGGGTATTTTTTTCTCGGATATTTAATTTCAGATCTTTCTTACTTCTTTAACGACTGGTCTTAAGTAGCTTTGTTTTGCTTTTGTTTCTGCTGGTTTCCTTTTTGTTGTTGTTGCTTTGGTTTTGGGGGCGGAAAGGGTATTTTGTCGGGATGGGGTGGGGTGATTGGGGAGTGGTCGTTGAGGATGTGAGTGAGAGGTTAGTTGAACGGGGTCCTCAATATTTCCCACGAGGGGGTAAATTTACGAATATAAGTCTTTGTCTCTCCTACTTCGAAAATACTGCATCACTGACAAAGAAAGGCGTAATCATACATTAATCATGACGATAAGATAATCAGTCAGTTGCCCCATCAGTTTTACCTTTGACATCCATCAACCAGGCGACGGGGACCATAAACACAATATACACAATAGTTCCCCAGTTGTTCAGCATCCCAATCTCAGCATCGGTCCAGCCGAACACAGCCTCCGCTGACTGGGCTACAGGTCCGAAACAGTTCCACACTGCTGCCTGGAGCAGCGCAGCATACGAGAAGACGAGGAGGACATACCAGCGTCTCTTGTAGGACCTGATGTCCTCCTTGGAGCCCAGCAGAGGGGATGCTTCACCATTCACGGACTGTCTTACACCACAATCTGTATGTCCGTCCATTAATGGTGAACGAATACTCTGCCTTTCTTCTGAATTTGCCATTCGCCCTTGAGATTGTACTGCTGGTGAAAGTTCTGTATTCATGTTTATACTGTCACGGAAAGTCTACCAGAATGCTAATCGTACCATACACCAAGTTTGATTCTAGTGACCCTTCTACATTTAACAGCTGACTGCGAGTCTTTGTCCCGAACTGAGTATATAACTTCACCAACACAGCCAGCACATAGTTAACCAGCGGCACAGACGAGCTTCATGTCGCTTATCGGGGAGATACGATTGCATCACTTTGATTAGGTTCACTAACTGAACCCAATCTTGACATATGATTATTACACATCGGATCGTTTCTATCTTGGTTGGGCCTGTTGCATTACCTGTTACAGGAAGCGTTCGATTCAGCACGTGTGCATACTGTCTCTCTTGGTACAAATCAAATCTTGCTTGAATCACTCACTCACTCACCTAAATAACCCACTCACTAAAATCCCTACTCACTCACTCACTCACTCGTCAACCCACCCAATCGTCCACTCATAATTTTGTTTACTTATTTTAACTAGTACTCATTTGAAAACAAATCAGACTTGTTTGCAAAACTAGTACGCATTAAGATTTATAAGTCACTACACAGACCAAAGTAGGCAGTGAGGTTGTTGAGTAAAGAGAACTAACATATAACTATTGCTGTCACTCACTCATTCACTCTTGTCGGGAATCTGAACGTGGATACTTGAATACTCATGCCAATAGTTAACGTGACCCCAATACTAAGACCGTGTGCTGGGAGTGACAAAAACTATTCTGAACATACGAATGTTAGTGTATATGTATCTACGTCCCTGTCAGCGAACTAGGTCACATCAATGGCGACATGGCATTGTGAAATGCTGTTCCCAGCACCACCATTCAGCCAGCATTGCGAGAATTTGGAGAATGACACAGGGTGCACTATTTCATCCAGTGGATTGACAGTAACGACACCTGGGTATGCGCAGTCAGTGCCGTGTGTGTACAAGGTTCTCTTGGGTCACGTGGTCAAGCGTCACGGTAATGTATGACCAAAAAATAACTATGTGACAGCATTAACATCAGTGTTCATGACGTGACTAGTCCGTTCTATGGAACTAGCTTGCTCCACTTGATAACGACTTAGTTTTTCTGGATTGATCTCGCTTTTTCAGGTCACACCCACTTCAGAACAGGTACGTATTTTCTTTGCATTGCAGTTTCTAAAATAAATTAGTGTGTTCTTTATATGAACGTTTGTGTCCATCCATCAATGGAATTCTTTGTGTAATCCAAACATACATTGCTGGGGTAGAATGGATTTGACATTGTATCGTGTAGCTATGTATATGTTTACAGTAACTATGTATATTTTTACAGAAGCAAATGGGTCTAAATAAGTGAGCTGAATACCATTAATAGTTTGTTAGATTAATAGTTTGTATCACTTCGTGTTATCGTTGTGTGACGCAGGACAGAAAGCCGGAAGGACGACCAGAATTGACAGAATTACCACCACGAGTGCGCCTTCGTGTCGTTCAAGTCACTAAGCTCATTGCTCTTATACCCTCGAACAGCATATATGAAATATAGTACATATGATGTGAGGATGAAGATAAGTATCTTGGCTATTCTGTTATGCAACATGTATACAGCAAGTATAATACGCATGGTCAACAATTGACGTGCTATCTGGAACCCAGTAAGTTAACCATAGATATTCGCTGTTGCTTTCTGCAATATCGAGATAGTGTTGGCCTTAAAGATAGGTTCGTGTCACTTGTTTAAAAATTCAGTTATTAACAAACAATCCGCAGTGTGATATTTTTGGATGTAGAAAAAGTATGTGACAGTACACTAAAACATTACCAGATTCACATGATTTCGAATTAGTCTCAGTTCGATTCCAAGCTTTAAAAAGACAGACCATGTTAAGTTTGATTCAGTCCTACTGTGTCTAGTCATCAGAATTTGAATGTCTTAAAAAGCAGTATTTTGTCAATCGGGCGTTATAATATAATACAATCGCGCAGAATGATTCTATAGACCAGTCGCTTACCTGTCATGATATGACACTGCGGGTTTCATAATAATATGCTAATAATAAATGTGAATTTATATTGCGTCTTTTCCATGCACAAGTCATATGCTCTCAGCGCTAACACAGTGGATGGATAAAATATAATGAGTCAAAAAAGAAACTTCACAAAATGTAATTTGAAAAATAATGAATAATTTTTCTATGATGATACATCTATGTATCCGAAATGGGATCCCTATCTTTCGACTCTAGAAAAACGTTAGCAAAACCAACTCAAACCCATCCATTCGTCGTGCAAATGACGTTAGTGCCAAATCAACTTTTGCACGTGCAGTCGATCACGTGATCTTCGCATCGAAGTTTTCTTCATATGCACGTGTTTGCATTGGCCTCAAGAATTGAAAAAACACTTTGAAACCACAGTTCTAACGGTACTTGAAATGCCACGATTGTCAAATGTGCAACGTGAACGTGCCGTTGGCATGTTGCAAGCGGGAAGATCAGTTATTGACGTCGCAAGAGCAATGGGACGCAGCCGCCGTACTGTGTATGACTTGCGAGGTCGTCTACAACAAACTGGCACCACTTCTAATCGCCCAAGTTCGGGTCGTCCACGTGTGACGTCACGAGCAGAAGACCCTCAAATCGTCCTACGTCAACTACGTGACAGATTTCTGCCGGCTACACGAACCAGGGCTGAGATGTTTAGAGGTCGACTGTCCTTACAGACCATTCGAAATCGGTTGCGGGCTGCCAATCTCCATTCTCGACGTCCATATCGTGGGCCAATATTGACGCCGTTTCATCAATGTCATCGTCTGCTGTGGGCCCAACGTCACCTCCGATGGACCCAGAGAGACTGGAATCGAGTCGTCTTTAGCGATGAATCCAGGTTTACCCTCAGATTCGCGGACGGCAGGCATAGAGTCTGGAGACGACGTCGTGAACGGTATGCCCCATGTTGTGTACAGGAAGTCGACAGATTCGGGGGGCGGAAGTTGCATGGTGTGGGATGCTTTCTGTGGGAACAACCGTTCCCGATCTGGTCATCCGTGGAAACCTCACAGCTGATGCTTACCGCGACCAGGTGCTAACCCCTGATCTCGTTCCTTTCATGGCGGCTCATGGCCCAGGTCTACAGTTCCAGCATGATAATGCTCGGCCGCATACCGCGATGTTGACACGAAATTTCCTTCAAAACGCTTGAATCAACGTCATGGACTGGCCATCGAGGTTCCCTGACCTTAATCCGGGGCGGCCATACACGATATTGAACTGAGAAATTTCGCATTTTTATTCTTGTGACTTGACATTCTGTATACCATGTTTTGGAACGGCGGTGTAGCCTAATGGAACTGATTATGGCACTGTCAGTGTATCGAGTACATCACACAGATCTCAGCAATGAAATAATAACAATTTAACCATCTTACCATCTCTTGTTCTTTTATAGTGCCCTGAAGAAATAATGTGAAGTTTCTTTTTTTGACTCAGTATACATTATATACAAAGAGGGAATTGTGGCTAGTCATATACAATGAAAACAGATGAGTCTTGAGCAGTCGTTTGAAGGAATTAAAATCAACTGCTGATTTGAAGGTGATAGGGAGAGAATTCCGAAGTAAAGGGTCAGAGCAAGCAACGGATTTTATCATATCAAGTTTAATTTACATATTAAACTGCAAGACAGAATCCAAACTTGGCACTTTAGAATCTGTGCAATGTATTGCTGCAGTTACATACGAACCTGGTTATATTTATTGCCTCGTCTCTTGCCCTCCCATGGCAACTTGTAAAGCCACAGATAGACTAACACTAACAAAGATACCTATGATGTACATCTGTATAGTACAGGAGGATGCGATGATGATGATGGAGTTGTTATGGGATCCAGAAGAATCTCTTCTAGATTACCAGGCGATAATTCTTTTTTCACAGCAGAAGCAAATGCCATATTAACAGCATAAATTAAGCTTTATTTTGACCATCCAGTGAAATGCCCAAGCGTCCAGTGCCTCTGAACCAAAGATGGCAAATTACTGGTATGCACCAGACTGGTATGTCACGCCTTGCTATTGGAGCACAACTGAACATGAATCACACTGTCATCAGCAGGCTGATACGTAAGCATACTGCTACCCGTGAAGTGAAGGATGCACCGAGGTCTGGACGTCCAAGAAAAACTAATGACAGGGAACATTGTGCTCTCGTACGCCATGCCAGACAAAGCCCAATGTCTACCTGTACACAGCTGCGACATGGATGGCATCCATACAACAGAGTGTCCATCAGCACCATCAGAGGACGCCTAAATTCTGCAGGATTGAGAGCATGACGACCAATCAGACGTCCACTCCTCACAAATCAGCACCGCCATGTCCGTTTAGCCTGGTGTCAAGCACGTGCTCGCTGGAACCTAAGGACAAGGAAAAGGATCCATTGGTCCGATGAAAGCCGATTTGTGCTGCCTCATACAAACGGGAGGGCACGAGTTTGGAGGCAGAGAGGCACAGCATATGATCAGATGACCATTCAAGCTGAAGTTCCATTTGCGGGTGAATCCGTCATGGTGTGGGGGTGTTGTTCCTATTACTGTAAACTTGACCTCATCACAGTTCCCAGGGCATTGAATGGACATAGGTACCAGAACTTGATCCTAGACGGTGCTGTATTGCCTAATTTGATAACCATGCTCTCGCCACACGTCCAGTCTTCATGGACGATAATGCCAGATCACATCGTGCTCGAGCATCTCCAACACAACGCCATTGAGACACTACCATGGCCAGCCATAAGTCCAGACATGAATCCTATTGAGCATGTATGGGACATTTTGGGACGTAGGGTGAGAGCAAGGGATCCTCCAGTTCAGAACCTTCAGGAATTCACCCATGCATTGCATGATGAGTGGCAGCAGATGCCCCAACAGAGAATCAGACGTCTGGTGGCCAGCATGCGACGGCGTGTAGAAATGTTATCCAAGTGCGAGGCCGTTACACCAGATACTGAGTTACTAGTGTGTTCAACATTAAGGAAATGTGAACTATGTGTTGTAACGACCCCATACGTATTTCACCTTATTTTACGGTGATTTTAGTAAACTTTAGTTTGATACAATTAAACCTTCAATTAGTGCTCAAATTCGGTCAATTTTCAGACTGAACGTTCACATGGGGCCAACTAAACAGTTTAATGTGCTTTTCTTAGCACCATTTTTATGAGGTTGTTGATCCAGTGGGTGGTACGATATTTATGACGAGGTGCATAGATTAAAAACCATCCTAAATATAAACAATATATCATAATTTTCAGACTCTCTTTCTTGCCCCCAGGCTATAAGAATCTCTCTTGCAAACATCCACTTTTAATCGATATAACTGAATTATATAATGAACTTGCAACTTGCCAGTACGCATCGTCCTTTGTTGGCTACCCAGCCATGTTAGTGTCTCTGGTAACGCAATGGCCGAATTTGCTTCTAAGGCAGGACTCAACAAATCTGTGACACCACTTCTCATTCCATACTCCGATTACAAAGCAACCGTTAGATCGTACATTCGTGATCGGATGCAGAAGAAGTGGGACACTCGCGTAGGTATTAATAAATTACATGCTATAAAACCCTATATTGGTTACATCTACTTGGGTTGTCTGTCCAGATTTTAAGAGGCCCTCATACGACGATTGCCCATTTTGATACACTCATGAATATTTGCTCAAAGGTGAAGATCCTCCGATTTGTATCCCTTGTGATGAGAGAATCACGGTCAAGCATGTCCTACTTGACTGTATTGATTTTTCCATCACAAGGGATAAATATTTCAATGCAAAAACTGTTAAGAATTTTTTTTACTTCTGATAATTTTCCTTTAATTATTGTTAAATTTTGATTGATATGTTTTGTAGATAGATGTGTTTTAATGATTAGTAGTTTAGATTGTTAGTGACTGTATCCTGAAGGGGAGTTTAAGTATTGTACAAGTATTGTCCTACTGAGAGGGTGCGTAAGTCCCGAAACTTTCAAATCAAATTTAAATTTACCAGATGTTATAAATGTCGTATATGCCATAGTAATTTGGGCTAAATTTGACTACAATTTCCAGATGCTGAACAGTTGAGGACTGAGTGAGTAAGTATGGTTTAACGCCGCAATATTCCAACAATATCACGGTGGGGGACACGAGAAATGGGCTTCACACATTGTGCCCAGCTGAAGAGTTGATATAAATCCAGCTAAAAGTAGCAAAAGTACTGTAAGTCCCCATGGTCCCTAGCAAGGTGATCACCCTTCGGTTGCTGGTGATCTATAGCCCGTTTTATATATATTTTATATTTTACTGTTGTCTCAAATGATTTATTTTTATGATAGCGTACTAGTTTGAAATTAAGAGCTGTGATAATCTAGTATTTTACTGTCCCTCGATGATAGGTTTTTACGTTCTAGTTTTCTCATTTTAAAAGTGATATAAATAAAATTGTTCTCGTCACAATATGGCTGCAATCTTGTCGATGTGGCGCTAAATATTAACTCACCTCAACTTTAAAAAACTGGTAAAAAAAAATCAACATCAGATATTTAATGCAAATCCAAGGCTTATCAATCCATGATTCTCAAATTTACATCCCTTGTGTTGCTTTCGACGGAGAATTTACATCTCCAAACAATTTCAGTTTAGGATTTAGAAATATAAACCCTAATTTAATCATTTGTTGGTTTTCTTAACGAAATAGATGTGTATGATACGTTTTGATGCACAAACCGAAAACATTTATTTCTTATTTATGGGTACATATAAATCGCTGAGACACTTAATGGCTGTACCCTGGAAGGGGATTGAAATTATTGTCCCCTCTCCGAGTCATCGTAACTCTATAACGTTCAAAGTATTTCAGATACTTCTCTGTTTTATTTGTAGAAGGTGTGTTTATGTCATTCTTATCAAGATAGTAGGGTTTCCACGGCCCCTAGTAAGGTGATACGACCTTTGCTGCTGGCGATCTACACCCACAAATTCTCCCCGTTTGATAAGTAGCAATATAATAAATGTGTGTTTTACTGGAGCCTTACTATTCTGTTGGCAGACTATTCTGTAATATTCACTTCGGAATTATGCCTACGTGAATGTAATTCGGAACATGCTTGAATTATTCTAACCACGAACACCTTTATTTATGTTCTTGAAATATCATGTTAAATTAAGCACTTGGTGTGCATCCGTATCTGACAGACTGTACCGTATATCAGGTGCATCAGTCGTGTCAGTGTAACAGCAGGCAGCACAGTAGCCATAACAATAGCTGCATCCGCCTCCACGTCAGGTCATGAATATGCATGTTACTGTCCCAATGAAATCTGTCCATCAACAAGCAATCGCCGTGCTGTATGATAAGGTGGTGGAACAGATGGACTCTTGGATTGGGCCAACGTAAATTCAGTTTTCACTCTCAGTGCGAATCAGTTTCACGTTTGCTTGGCGGAGTAGAAGAGGTGTTCAAGGTATGTTAGACAGGGTTAGCATATGTATAAACGTTTTTGAAAGTGAGTTGACCTAATTCGGGTTTAAATCAAAACCAGTAGCATTGTTTCATGAACTGCATAATGTTATGTGGCAGTCTAATACGTTGTGTCAATAATGTCTCGCCTGTAATACGGTGTACCTGTAGATTCAGGAATTGGGGTGCTATATTTAGACTTGTGCTGAAAAGTATTAAAACCATCCTCTGATACAAGGATATGCCTTAGGGTAGAATTTTCTAGCAACTTGTATAAAAGGGGAGCTAGCTATTGCCTCTCATCTCACATTTCATCGTAAGAGTGGATTCCCTAAATACATACTTTATGCAATAAGGTCAGTGTGCACTTCATCGTTTGGGATACTCGTCAGTATAAAATCAAACGAAAAACGAAAAATGGTTGTGGACCCAGTTACTGTTAGTAAAAATACTTGATCTATGTCAACCAACCAAAATTGAAATGAAAAGAGTCATTATGTGTTTTATTTTTCTTCTTCAAGTGACATTTAGAAGCTGGTATGATGAAGACGAACACCTTTTTATGGATAGACAGCTTCTTTGTTGCAATAGATACGACGTTTCGGCGTACATGCTAACACGGTTTTGAAACGACAGCTGAAGGATAATTGATGTATGTGTAAAATGATTTGTATGAATAGTTCCCGGGTGATCAATAATGTTATATTATACTGAAAGAAACATATTGTAATGTATACAAGCTCTACCGTTTGATGTGCTAATTACCAGTCGCAATATGTATAAGATTATTGTTTGAAGATCTTTTAACCATATGTATTTATGTACAACATACTTGACCCCACAATATATGTTGAAACATCTCTTTGGACTAATCACTGACTTCTATTTTAAGGAATATAACTCATTATCCCATAACCAGCTGGATAAGACTATTGTACAGATGTCTCCTTTGGCGTAGAGTCTTCTAGCAACATAGTTTTGTGTATATAAAGGGAGGTAACACTTGCCTTCCATCATCCATTGTATCTTCAGAAGAGCAGCCTTGTGTGTGACGATCAGCATACCTGCCTGACCTAACTGCTAGTTGTAATACTGTACATATATAGTAAGTGATAACTTTGTATTGATTTGTGAACTTTAAATATAATTATTAGTTACACCACATTTTGTTTGTTAGTTTCACACCTGGTTTATTTACGGCCTGATTTCCGGATAATTTGTAGTTTCAGCTTGGGAATCAACGGCCATACTCAATGCATGCTCAAGTTGAAAATATCGAGCGCTACATACTTCTCTGATTTTTAGCTTCATTGAAAAATATATTCTTTCGTTTTACACATGCTGTTACTTTATAATGTACAAAGTGTGTTCTCTTAGTTTACACTGATGCCCGTATCCAAGTAACTGTAGTTATATTATTCACGTCAGTTCGTCTAGTTAGCAAGACCTTTTAGTAATGGTGTTCACCACATTCAGTCAAGGACAGAGGTGATATGTCGATAAATAAAGCAGCCAAAGGAAAATGTACAGCCTTTAGAAAACTCTACTAAAACTTACCCTCCATTAAACGATTCCGAATATGGTAAGAGATATGAATCATTCACAGCTAGTCATGACACCGGGTGTTCAGAACATGGTGCGAGTACCCTGGCGCACAGTTGACTGTGAGTTGACACTAACACAGGAGAATTGTACACGTCATTACAGTTGTTGTGACATATGTACCACGTACATCAACCCAGTGATATATTTACGTACGGGAGATGTGCAATACATAACAATGGATGTGGTAACAACAGCGATTAACTGTCAACTAGACACGTACATGTACATACTAGCTGTACATACAGTTCAGATGATTTACTGACTCCGGCCTGCAACCGTGCCATCGTCCTGAAGATTCATTTATCTTAATCCAGAAGTAATCCAATTTACGTGATTTGAAGCTTATTCCTGATCGGAGTACCAGACAACATAGCTCATCTACCTCAAACTGCATGTAAACACAGTGACCATAAGTTCACCTGTAGCATTATTGCATCAGATATACTTTTACTGTTATATTATTTGACTTACAGACTCATGAATACGCTGTTTCTTTTGAGGCATAAATTATGGGGCCTTTATCGTTATTGAATATATATAAATAATATCTGAATGAAGAACTTTTTTAAAAGTTTCCAAGAGCTACTACAATGTTTTCATACAAAGTCAAAATTCAGAAACACTAATATCTCGTGATCAATGAATGTGCCTGTTCACAAACAAGACGTATGTCAGTGTCAGCCCATAATATAATGTGGATGTAGAAACGTGTTTTATCGAGTAAAAACATGGTACTGGAAAAAATATATCCCTTCTCTGTCAACTAAAGTTCGTTCAAGGCGTTAATAGTCGTTCTCTGATCCTGGCTGTGATCAGTAAACATAGTAAACCGGAAAGTTGGTGAAGATTTCGCACAAATTAATGTAATGAAAAAAAACTGTAACAAACACAAATCGACATATATAGTAAACACTTTTAATAAGCAGACATGGTGTTCACATGATAAAATTGCGTATTTGCTGTCTGATTTGTTAACATTGTAATATCCGGATGTTATGTGCCCATGGTAATGATTGTGCGCTGGAAAAAAAATCCGATCAGAACTACGTATTTGGGGAAGAAAATGAGCAGACTACTCAAGAAAAACGGTAATAATAGTGTAAACAGCCTGTGAAGTAACATGTAGGTGATACCAAGAGTAACCGTATGGAGAGGCATATAGTTGAAGACACTGCCGTCGTGACGCCACTGACACTAGTAACAGGGTTGAACAAGGTGAGAAGCAAACGAAGAGTGCTGGTTACTTGGCATAACAAGCATCTCTACAAATATGGTTCTGTTCTTGAAATGTACTATATTCAGCTAGAAGTAGTATTATGATCTTACCATGGTGGTCTCGATGAGTCGGAGTTTGACGACACTATGAAATGGTCGTCACTCGTTTCCACTTCATGATTGCTTCCGTATCTCGTCGTTATCTTGAAGGGGGCGGTGGGGTAGCCTAGTGGTTAAAGCGTTCACTCGTCACGCCAAAGACGCGGGTTCGACTCCCCACATGGGTACAATGTGTGAAGCCCATTTCTGGTGTCCCCCCACCGTGATATTGCTGGAATATTGCTAAAAACGGCGTAAAACTAAACTCACTCACTCACTTTATCTTGAAGTTCGGTAAATTAGCCGGTGTGGGTTCAAAGGCATAGGGTTGTACGATTTCTTGTAGGTTCAGTGAAACTTCTTCGTAATCAGACGATGTGTCGGAGGCCATGTTGTGTAACAGTAAACTGGTTCTGGATGTCTTTCACGTCACATAAGACAAACCAGTTGGATTGGCACCAACTACGTCATATGTAGGGGTGTAACTCAGGCTTGTTTAGCTCTGAAATCGAAGGCCTTATAACGGCGCACCATTTTCACACCTATTATGAGGTTCCAACTGTAAATATGAAAAAGATGACTGCATATTTCCAATCATGAATATTCACTAATTCTAAACCTGCATTTTGATTCATGCAAGAAAAAAATGATTTTTTCATGTACACTTCTCCTTTAAGACAACCGCTGCCGTCTGAGCAGATATCAGAAATATCACATATATAGCATCCACTGGTATCGACTATGTAATGTCGAGAACAGGAAGTTAGCAAAATCGTTTTGTTGTTGTTGTTGTTGTTGTTGTTTTATTGTTCCCAAATCAAGTATAGAGAGTATATGAAATATGTAAGCAGGTATACGTTGTTGACATCGGTTAATTATAATATGCATGTACGGCTTTCGCTACACATTTTGATTAAGAGGTCACGAGTCTCCAGTCTTAGAAGTGCAGCGCACTGTCAAATTTTCACCACTATTTGGCTTTTATGCCCAGATGATTCTATTTAGTTAGGTAATCGAGCCTGGCTTTTAGCTGGCGTTGTCTTTTAATAATCACCATGTATATTTACTTTGAATGTTATATAATTACAATGCATATTGGTTGAATAGTATTTACTTACAATGTATATTATTGTCAATATTGATCAATGAGTCTTTGCAGCAACTGACATGCAGCTTAGATTTACAACCTAACCCCACGTACCAGGTAACCAATGTAACAGCGCCTTCTGTCGACAGATCGGGTACCATGGCGTCTCCCGGCTACGGCACCGTTGACTACGTGGTCTTCTCCTTGCTGCTACTACTCACACTAGGTATTGGCATCTTCTTCGCTTTTCGATCACGCCGTCGTCAAACAACGTCGGACTTTCTCCTCGCGGGCCGGAAAGCCCCTTACCTCCCCGTAGCGCTGTCGTACCTGGCGACGTTCGAGTCGTCTATCATGATGCTGGGCAAACCTTCTGAAACCTATGTGTACGGCGTACAGTGGTTCATGTCCTCCATGGGGTTTGTTGTCGCTCAAATCTTTGCCACTTACATGTTCGTCCCGATGATCTACCGGCTCAATATCACAAGTATCTATGAGGTAATCTCAATGATGAAACACCCAATCAACTAAAACTATGCGAATGTAGTGTAGTGTAGTGTTCGTTACAGGCGCTGTTCGGTAAAACGTCTTATGTATATTTATATTTAGCATTGTAAAAAATGTATTGTTCGTGCGATAAGTTCAATTAAGATATTGCAGTTGTTGTCATAAACGTTTTTTTTGAAATCCACTGTCACGTGTTGAGGTCATGTGACTTTAGGTAAACCAGTCTAAGGGTCACGATTTATCATTTCTTTTAAAGGTGATGTTTTTTTAGACCAGAAGTCCTTTTAAAAAAACGCCAGTACGGGAGTATGTGCACATAGGACACATACAATATCGTTAAGTGAAACTGCACTGCGCACAGTAGCTGGATTACTGCATGCCTCCTGAGAGTGTCTTGGTCTTTGGCAACAGCCCCCCTCCCCCTTTCCCCGACACTAGAGTACAAACGTTGGTGTCCTTGTTGAAGATAGTGCATGGGTACCCGGCAGGATGGGATCGCAAGGTGACTACCATTGGATTTGAGAATGAAGAAGAGTGCTTACTAGTCCCCTGACCAGGGTATTACGTTAGGGTGTTGTTACGGTGCGGAATAAATGGGAACATTATTTTGCTTTACGGTAATACTGTAGGCACGCATTTACAGTGTGAATTGCGCATTTCTGATGTAAGGAAGTGGAGTAGAAGGTCTCGTGGATTTGCTTCCAGACAGAATGATGTTTAGTGACGTGTAATCAGTGTGTGTTAACATTCATTGATATAACACCTGTATTTTTGCATTCCCAGTACCTGGAAGTGAGGTTCAAGTCGAGGCTGGTGCGGCTGATTGGGGCAGGTCTGGGGATCCTGCAGCAGGTAACAAGCTGTAGATACATCCTCCGACATCGCGCATAGCACCTCACTGGCTGGCTGGTACTCCAGGAAACATACATAGTTCCTTTCAAATATATTATATATTCGGACCTCTGGTGGGTTTGGAATGCCTGTACGTTCATCTGTTACCTTCTCGTATTGCACATTATGGTGACTGAAGAACGTCGTGTTGACTGAAGAACATCGTGTTTTGTCTGTGGTGGCTATCATGAGTGACATATACTCATGTCAATAATGGTTGTCACCCCCTTCAAAATTTTTAATTGGAGAGGGGGTGTGGGGTGGGTGTGTGAGGTGTGTGGTGGGTTGGGGTGGGGTTTTGACCAAAACAATACAGGAAATGCCAGTTATATATTGTAAAGAGGCTCGGTAGCCAGGTGGGTGAAGGGGTTGCTGATCACTGTTACGGCTGTTGATTCCCCACGTGGCAAATATAGATCCCGGCCTGTGATAATGTTAGATATACCTAAACTCTTTATTTGATGAGGACCCAAACTTGGCATATGATTGCTACACATCAGATCGTTTCTATCCAGGTTGGGACTGTTGTGTTGTGTAACACTCACCCATATACTCACTCACTCATTCACTCACTGCACGGCCTAATCAGATGTATCTTTGTTGCAGATCACCTACATCGCCATCGTTATCTTTGTTCAGTCTTTGACACTGGAGGCTGGTAAGGGCAACACGTTGCATGCATTGTACACGCTTCATGATTTCGGTTTCGTCAAGAATGTGGTAAACCGAGGCTCCCTAACGTCAATGTACACAGTACACCCCCCGAGTGATAACGTCTATTGTTACATGTACCTAGGGTGCCTTACCCTGAATGGATAACCGAAATGGTTTGTTTGACGTTGCTTGGTCCAATAACAGGCCGATATATAAAGAGCGACACCAGTCACAGGCCTGGGAACCTTCCCATCCAAAATCAATGTTATTTATGGTTTTGTGAATACATTGAAAGAAATATCTTCCTGTTAGCTGGGATAACTTATTGCAAATGAGCAATATCAATCTGTCACTTTGACCAATGAAACTTACGAAATTTACAATTACCTTTGCACATGCCTCAGCCGTGGGAATGACCGTGGAGACGTCCATGCTGTTGTCGACTGTCCTCGCCGTAGTCTATACCTCTCTGGTGAGTCACAGTCCGTCTTTTACCATGTCATGAGTTATTTCTACTGATCGGTCATTTGTCGAGGCAATGTCACGGGTTCGATTCGTCACATGGTGTGCCTACTGTTTGATTATTAATAATGAATGTCAATAGCAGCTCAATCACGTCATGTCGCACGAGGAAAGCATGTTGATTCTCTCCTACAGAACCCATAATGCTGAATGATTGCTTTAATATAGGGTAATGCATGCATAGAAGAAATTGATTTACAAATTGATTCCTCTTAGACAATGAAATCAGATTGTACACCGCTGTAACCAGTGCCCCTCTCACCTCGCAGTAAAGCAATAGTAACGTTGTGGATGATACTCTCTATTTGGTTTCAGGGAGGAATGAAAGCAGTCATCTGGACGGACGTGTTTCAATGTGTACTCATGTTCATTGGTATGATCGCCATCATCATCAGGGTGAGTCTGTCATGATCGCCAGCATCATCAGGGTGAGTCTGTCATGATCGTCATCATCATCAGGAGTCTGTCATGATCGTCATCATCATCAGGGTGAGTCTGTCATGATCGCATTCATCATCAGGGTGAGTCTGTCATGATCGCCATCATCATCAGGGTGAGTCTGTCATGTAACGCATCATCATCAGGGTGTGGTTGTCTGTCATCATCATCAGGGTGAGTCGTCATCATCATCAGGGTGTGTCTGTCATGATCGCCATCATCATCAGGGTGAGTGTCATGTAACGCATCATCATCAGGGTGAGTCTGTCATGTAACGCCATCATCATCAGGGTGAGTCTGTCATGTAACGCATCATCATCAGGGTGAGTCTGTCATGATCACCATCATCATCAGGGTGAGTCTGTCATGTAACGCATCATCATCAGGGTGAGTCTGTCATGTATCGCCATCATCATCAGGGTGAGTCTGTCATGTAACGCATCATCATCAGGGTGAGTCTGTCATGTAACGCATCATCATCAAGGTGAGTCTGTCATGATCGCCATCACCATCAGGGTGAGTCTGTCGTGTAATATCATCGTCATCAGGGTGAGTCGGTTATGTAACGCATCGGCATCAGGGTGAGTCTGCCGTGTAATATCATCGTCATCAGGGTGAGTCGGTTATGTAACGCATGATCATCAGGGTGAGTCTGCCATGTAACGTCATCATTACCAAGGTGAGTCTGTCGTGATCGCCATCATCAAGGTGAGTCTGTCATGTAACGCCATCATCATCGGGGTGAGTTTGTCGTGATCATCATCATCAGGGTGAGTCTGTCATGTAACGTCATCCTCAGGGTGAGTCTGTCATAATCGCCATCATCATCAGGGTTAGTATGCTAGTATGTTCGGGTGAGGTACCGAGATTGTATAGTATCACGGTCAATGAATGTCATGCATATGTCATGTTGCAGGGGTGTGAGGTTGTTGGTGGTGGCCATGAGGTCATGGCACGATCGGTTGCTGGTGGCAGAATGAACTTCTTCAAGTATGTGAATCTATGTCAACCATTTAGCTCTACGATTATAACAGGTTAACCGTCTGACGTATGCGACACACAATATCAAGGGTCCCGTTTGGGAGCTAGTTTTCTGAGTCTTTAGTTTAAGTTGTTGGGAGTTGGGTCCATTAGTAGTGCCAGAGTACACTGATCTTAGGTTCGAATCCCTGCATCACCACATACCGGTACTCGTGTATTACTTGCATCAGTTTACCGGTCGCCATATGAAAGATGTTAAGAGCGGCGTTACTTCCCAAATGCTACATTCTTCAGGTGGTGATTCAGCTGTGCTGGCAACGTTCTCAACGCTTTTACAATGGATGAGGAATATTAAGGTTTTATGATACGACGGGGAAATTATATTACCGTAATTAGATAATAACATATTACTCTTACCAGTTCGTGGGTTTCTTTGCTCCAGCTTTGACCCCGACCCCACAGTTCGACACACCTTCTGGGGACTGTTTGTGGCAACAATCGTGAGGGAGTCCGCCTTTGTTTTCAGTCAGTCATCCGCTCAAAGGGTCAGTTCCACATCGTCAGAGACAGAAGCCAAGAAGTACGTCTATCACGTGTACAGAGGCATGCATATATATACATGGGGGATTTCACTGTAATCTTTCATCGCAAATCTAAATGGAGATACGGTGAATTACTTACATCACTTACATCCTAGACAGGGTAATCACATTTTGATGGTCATCCTCTGAACACAGGGGCGGTGGGGTAGCCTAGTGGTTAAGGCGTTCGCACGTCACGCCGAAGACCCGGGTTCGATTCCCCACATGGGTACAATGTGTTAAGCCAATTTCTGGTGTTCCCCGCCGTGATATTGCTGAAATATTGCTAAGAGCGGCGTAAAACCAAACTCACTCACTCACCTCTGAACACAAGGCCAGTCTTCAAGGACGGTTGCAAAGTAGCAAGTGTACCTACCGCCAGAAGTCTAGGGGCAGCAGACCCTCTTTAACTGATACGCTCACCTTTTCGCAAACACCTGTTATCAACACTATTTGATGGTAGAAACATTCTCATGATTTTGTCGGAATCGTACACTGGGCTCCTCTGTAACAAGTGTTTCTTGTTACAGTGGATTGGGATTTCTCATTCGTAATCATTTTTTTTATATCTGACACAGATTCATCAAACAATATTATGCGACACTTTTCGTCGATTCCAGAATGATGCTAGTGTCAGCGCCTGCGTTCCCTCTGATGACGGGGCTGGCGTTGTTGATGGGACTGGTGGCATACGCTTACTATGACAAAATTCAGTGCGATCCGTTTGAGTCGGGGCAACTGTCTAGTCCTAATCAGGTGAGAGACTACTGTTTACAGGCATGACAAGCTCCCTTAAAGGTACACTAGTCACAACATGAAGTGAAAGAACGATACCATCCCAACAGTGTTCAATTGGTGTTTCTGGCAATGAAATGAGCATCGACCTAACGTTGCGACAATAACCCCCGCATCATCTCAACAGCCTCTCAACGTTGTGCTATCGTGAGTCGTGGGGTACATGCACAACTAACGTTAACAAACCAGCCGACAGACATTCATGCACGTGTATAAACGTGTTGCACGTGTCCTTGCCGAAAATACTGACGCTATTAAATGAAGCTACATTTATCAAATATCTTAAATTTATCAATTCTCTGAATTCCCTCCTCAATCATACATTTGAATCCACGCCATGAGATAGATGCCCCGTGATTATCCTAATATCAAGTGTGGTAACTGCCACCTTGTAGATTATCCTAATATCAAGTGTGGTATCTGCCACCTTGTAGATTATCCTGATATCAAGTGTTTTATCTGCCACCTTGTAGATTATCCTAATATCAAGTGTGGTATCTGCTCACCTTGTAGATTATCCTAATATCAAGTGTGGTATCTGCCACCTTGTAGATTATCCTAATATCAAGTGTGGTATCTGCCACCTTGTAGATTATCCTGATATCAAGTGTCGTATCTATCACCTTGTAGATTATCCTAATATCAAGTGTGGTATCTGCCACCTTGTAGATTATCCTAATATCAAGTGTGGTATCTGCCACCTTGTAGATTATCCTAATATCAAGTGTGGTATCTGCCACCTTGTAGATTATCCTAATATCAAGTGTGGTATCTGCCACCTTGTAGATTATCCTAATATCAAGTGTCGTATCTGCCACCTTGTAGATTATCCTAATATCAAGTGTCGTATCTGCCACCTTGTAGATTATCCTAATATCAAGTGTGGTATCTGCCACCTTGTAGATTATCCTGATATCAAGTGTCGTATCTGCCACCTTGTAGATTATCCTAATATCAAGTGTCGTATCTGCCACCTTGTAGATTATCCTAATATCAAGTGTGGTATCTGCCACTTTGTAGATTATCCTAATATCAAGTGTCGTATCTGCCACCTTGTAGATTATCCTGATATCAAGTGTCGTATCTGCCACCTTGTAGATTATCCTGATATCATCAAGTGTTATCCTAATATCAAGTATCTGCCACCTTGTAGATTATCCTAATATCAAGTGTGATATCTGCCACTTTCTAGATTATCCTGATATCAAGTGTGGTATCTGCCACCTTGTAGATTATCCTGATATCAAGTATGGTCTAATATCAAGTGTCGTATCTGCCACCTTGTAGATTATCCTGATATCAAGTGTCGTATCTATCACCTTGTAGATTATCCTAATATCAAGTGTCGTATCTGCCACCTTGTAGATTATCCTAATATCAAGTGTCGTATCTGCCACCTTGTAGATTATCCTGATACCTAGTGTCGTATCTGCCACCTTATAGATTATCCTGATATCAAGTGTCGTATCTATCACCTTGTAGATTATCCTAATATCAAGTGTGGTATCTGCCACCTTGTAGATTATCCTAATATCAAGTGTGGTATCTGCCACCTTGTAGATTATCCTAATATCAAGTGTCGTACCTGCCACCTTGTAGATTATCCTGATATCAAATGTCGTATCTGCCACCTTGTAGATTATCCTGATATCAAATGTCGTATCTGCCACCTTGTAGATTATCCTGATATCAAGTGTGGTATCTGCCCCCTTGTAGATTATCCTCCTGTTGGTGAAGGACTTGTTCTGGGATGTGCCAGGAATGTCTGGGGTGTTTCTTGCATCTCTATTCAGCGCTGCTCTCAGGTACGTGTCTACATTCAACTCCAGGACTGTCACCTGTATCACATTCCCCCATGTACTATATGCCCCGTCTGCCGGAAATGCCTGAGAATTTCCTTTTCAGAAAAGGCAGCATCACGCTGTGCATCGGTAGTCCTGTATTCATGATATCAATACTCAGCATGATGATAATCACGGCATTGCAATGTGGCTGATCCTATCCTTCGTATGAAAGTAAAAGTCCAGGGCCCCGTTTCACAAAGCTCTCGTAGCGCTATGTCAGTGTTACGCTATAGGGGGTAGGAATGCTACGAGGACAGTTACGAGATTTAATGCTTACGAGAGCTTTGTGAAACAGAGCCCTGATTACTAAAGACACGGTATTGTAATGAAACTGTCGTATTTCAGTACCATCAGCTCCTCCATGAGTAGCTTCTCTGCGAACATGTGGAGGGACTTTCTCCAGCCCTTGCTGCCGACCTTTTCCGAGAAGAGAGCTGTCGTCGTGGCCAAATTGTCAGGTCAGCACTGTAAACAGTTGCGGTACATGTGGCTAATATCAAATAGGACTGTCTGTTTGACACATCGTTGGTATAGTTTACACAACGTTACTCCTAAATAACCCAAACATTGTACATTTTCCCAAGGCTATATTGTGCCCTTTATATGCCTGTACAGCACGCATGTGTCCTGATCAAATGGAATATAAGCACTGTCATTTGAGCTTTTGTCAGAGTCGGGGATATGTAACGCCATGTGCGTGCGTGAGTGTGTGTGTGTGTGTGTGTGTGTGAGAGAGAGAGAGAAGGTGTGTGAGAGAGAGGGGTGTGGTTTTTTTGTGTGTGTGAGAGAGAGGGTGTTTGTGTGTGTGTGTGTGTGTGGGGTGTTTGTTGAGATATTCATTATGTAGATGTCATCCAACACCGGGATGGCACGCTGTGTTGTATACTCATAAGGAATTCTTTCTTTTCTAACCTTTCTTCCTACTACCCTCCTGGTCTGGCTCCATACTTCCCCGGTATCGTTTCTGAACGTTTCTGATATGTCGTCCAGGTCAATACATTTCACTTGTGCGGATGCTGACTAGTCACCTAGTCATGTACTGTGAAACTCAGGTAATACGATAAGGATCGCTTCCAGTGGTCAACTAAGTAGTAAATATACCTCCAGATATATCCATTGTATAACTGAAATAAACTCACTCACTCATTCGTATCACATAAAAAAAACTTCGACACTGATAAACACAATAATTATGACATAATTACACTGCGTTTTCACTGCAACCGATTTAGAATACAAACAGAAAACTGAACATTTTGGATTTTTTGCAGTGTTAAAGTATCTTTAATTTAAACACCCAAGAAACCATTTGTCGAAGACATTCCACGTGTTGTTATGTTTGTTATCCCTGTAACAGATAATTGATACAATCACCAGAAAGGTTATTAAAATAGCTTGTGATCTTTTGTGTACCTTGAATATAACAGATGTATTCTTGACAACCTTTTGCCGCTGAAGCTAGGGTTGTGAAAATGATAGAAGATTGATTGGATCTAATGTGTAAATGTAAACTACAATACTTCATTATCCAAAAGCAAAGAATAAATCTATAAGTTTGGAAAGCAAAAACACCAGTGACATAACATGAACTGATGTCTTACCAGACAGTCCCCACTATAGATTCTCTGCGATCTTCAAGGGAATGCCTATTGTTTTGTTACAGTGGTGGTGTGCGGGGTGTTGTCCTGTGCTGTCGCCTATTGCATTACATCGCTGAAACTTACAACATTACCACAGGTAGGTTATACGTTGCCAGCATGGTACTCATCAAATAAACTGTTAGAGAGGTACAAAATGTATGGGCTCTAGAATATCGACCTTCATTTCTGTACAAACTTCGGTGGTTGAGTGGGTTCGATTGCTGACTTCGTGACCGATGTGGTATGTCACACTGACAGTGTGGATTCGAATCGCGAATTTGTACTTTACTAAGGAAGTGTAATTCTAATATATCATATGTTTCAGGATACTTGAGTGAGTGAGTTTCGTTTTACGCCGCAATATTCCAGCTATATGTCAGCAGTATGTAAATATTCGAGTCTGGATAATCCAGTCAACATCAACAGCATGAACATCGATCCACCAAATTGGGATACGATGGCCTGACCACCCTATCCAGTTAGTCGCCTCTCACGAGCATGGGTTACTGAAGATCAGCTCTAATCCGGATCTTCACGGGTCGGATATTTGAGAATTAAAGTAGGTCTGGGCAGACGCCCTGCCTAGGGTTACCTGCAGTGTAGTAAGAATGTGTTATTGCCCATGTGTTATATACACCATTCAGTATCATCATACGATATGACGCACACTTGTCTACCTTGACAGATCGCCTTTACTATATTCACGTTGACATATGGACCCCTGAGTGGAATGTTCCTCTTAGCAGCACTATGTCCTTGGGCAAACGACAAGGTGAGAATAAACCTTTACCCACATGTACAGAGTCAGTGAGTGAGAGAGTCTAGTTTTACGCCGCTTTTAGCAATATTCCAGCAATATCACGGCGGGGGACACCAGAAATGGGCTTCACAAATTGTACCCATGTGGGGTGTCGAACCCGGTCTTCGGCGTGGCGAGCCAACGCTTTAACCACTAGTCTACCCCACCAAATATACAGAACGGGCATGAGAGGATCACACTTACTTATTAACTACTGAATCATGAAGCACCACGTGCTGATTGTGCGATGTATATGCAGATGGTCATGTCCGAGTTTTGTTAGTTGTTTGTGTTTGTAACAGTTTAAGAACAGATTTTGACATCTGTCTTTTACGAAAGTTGACCCCCACCCACCCTCCACGTATGTAAAGTGTAGATGTGTTACAGGGCGTAGTGGCAGGGGTAGGCAGCAGCATTGTGCTCACTGGGTGGATCTTCATAGGCACCACCTTCTCTAAGGCAATCAAGACCACGCCGTGGTTACCGGCCGCCTCCACTGCTGCCTGCTTCAACTACACCAACGTGTTCAACACAACTGTGGACAACGTGACGGTGTTCGGCGACTACGTTACTACAATAGCAACCACTCCGGAGTCGGCCATGGCATGGAAAGATAAGGTGTAAGTATAATTAACAATTGTTTGTGCTACTCCGGATCGAGGTGGCTGACCCCTGTATACTTGCACAGAGCTAGAAACTCACCACTGCCAAATAGTGGTCGAGTATAGGCTTTCGATCTTTTGTTAGTCACATGTAAGGCAAAACCTGTGAACTTTCGATAAATAGTCTTCTTCACTGTGACTAGAAAAGCGATTGCAAGTTTTAATTCTTTAATTTAATTTTCGTATTGTATCCAGTCCCTGTGTTGAAGACACAAGGGTCTAGAATACGCTGCCAGTACACAACGTCATGATGGACACCTATGCCTTTCGCGTCAATTATGCTTCACATGTGTCTGTTTGTTCCAGGACGGGTGTCGAGAGACTGTACCTACTGTCATACACATGGTATGGAGTTGTTGCCATAGCAGCGGTCATGAGCATGGGTTCCATTGTCAGTCTGATTACAGGTACGCATATCCTTACCATCATGGCGGTGGCACGTCCAAGCTGTACTGTATTCAGTATTTTTATGTGTTGATAGTGTTCCCGGGAATTGAGTCATATGGCGTGCTGTAGTTTCCATGTTGCTGTGTGACGACGTATTGTATTGTCTACAGGTGGCAACAAAGATGACCCCGTTGACCCACGTTACCTGGCAACGTCTCTAGCCACGTGCTGCGGCAAACATGGCGGGCAGGAAAAGCCTTCACAGACAGAATCCGACGCCCGAGAGGTCACGGAAAAGGTTAAGCACATTACTCAAATTCTTGTTTGTCCCATTTATTTCCAATCAGTTCATTTACTGTAATATAATATCTTCTACATACCGTTTATGGCAATATTCCGGCAATGTTACTGCGAGTGACACCAGGATTGAGTTTCACGCTCTACCAGTGAAGGTTGGAGGACAACCTCAACGATAGACGCTTCAGGTCATCGACTTCAGCAGCCCATCAGCGTCGAGGCATCTATAATGTCAGTACTATTGAACGAAGCCTGCACCAGGTGTACCTGGTTGCTGTATTAAAACACTGGGAGTCCAGACTTCAGAGTGTGAAACCACAATACGACGTTACAATACAACACAATACAACACGAGAGATTAGTTCAGATCCGGGCATTACTCCATGACAACCCTATGCAACACTAGAGATTAGTTCAGATCCTGGCATTACTCCATGACTACCAGAGGCAACACTAGAGATTAGTTCAGATCCGGGCATTACTCCATGACAACCCTATGCAACACTAGAGATTAGTTCAGATCTTGGCATTACTCCATGACTACCAGAGGCAACACTAGAGATTAGTTCAGATCCGGGCATTACTCCATGACTACCCTATGCAACACTAGAGATTAGTTCAGATCCGGGCATTACTCCATGACTACCAGAGGCAACACTAGAGATTAGTTCAGATCCTGACATTACTCCATGACTACCAGGGGCAACATTAGAGATTAGTTCAGATCCTGATATTACTCCATGACAACCAGGACAACACAGGAGATTAGTTCAGATCCTGACATTACTCCATGACTACCAGAGGCAACACTAGAGATTAGTTCAGATCCTGACATTACTCCATGACTACCAGGGGCAACACTAGAGATTAGTTCAGATCCTGACATTACTCCATGACTACCAGGGCAACACTAGAGATTAGTTCAGATCCTGACATTACTCCATGACTACCAGGGGCAACACTAGAGATTAGTTCAGATCCTGACATTACTCCATGACTACCAGGATAACACTAGAGATTAGTTCAGATCCTGACATTACTCCACTGACTACCAGGGGACAACCACTAGAGATTAGTTCAGATCCTGACATTACTCCATGACTACCAGGGGGCAACACTAGAGATTAGTTCAGATCCTGACATTACTCCTTGACAACCAGAAGCAACACTAGAGATTAGTTCAGATCCTGACATTACTCCATGACTACCAGGGGCAACACTAGAGATTAATTCAGATCCTGACATTACTCCATGACTACCCTAGGTAACACTAGATATTAGTTCAGATCCTGACATTACTCCATAACAACCAGGCGTAGCACAAGAGATTAGTTCAGATCCTGACATTACTCCTTGACAACCAGGACAACACTAGAGATTAGTTCAGATCCTGACATTACTCCATGACTACCAGAGGCAACACTAGAGATTAGTTCAACACTACATGAGATTAGTTCAGATCCTGACATTACTCCATGACTACCAGGACAACACTAGAGATTAGTTCAGATCCTGACATTACTCCATGACTACCAGGGGCAACACTAGAGATTAGTTCAGATCCTGACATTACTCCATGACTACCAGGGGCAACACTAGAGATTAGTTCAGATCCTGACATTACTCCATGACTACCAGGGGCAACACTAGAGATTAGTTCAGATCCTGACATTACTCCATGACAACCAGGGGCAACACTAGAGATTAGTTCAGATCCTGACATTACTCCATGACAACCAGGGGCAACACTAGAGATTAGTTCAGATCCTGACATTACTCCATGACAACCAGGACAACACTAGAGATTAGTTCAGATCCTGACATTACTCCATGACTACCAGGGCAACACTAGAGATTAGTTCAGATCCTGACATTACTCCATGACTACCAGGGGCAACACTAGAGATTAGTTCAGATCCTGACATTACTCCATGACTACCAGGGGCAACACTAGAGATTAGTTCAGATCCTGACATTACTCCATGACTACCAGAGGCAACATTAGAGATTAGTTCAGATCCTGATATTACCCCATGACTACCAGGGGCAACACTAGAGATTAGTTCAGATCCTGACATTACTCCATGACTACCAGGGGCAACACTAGAGATTAGTTCAGATCCTGACATTACTCCATGACAACCAGGGCAACACTTACTCCATGACAACCAGAGATTAGTTCAGATCCTGACATTACTCCATGACAACCAGGGCAACACTAGAGATTAGTTCAGATCCTGACATTACTCCATGACTACCAGGGGCAACACTAGAGATTAGTTCAGATCCTGACATTACTCCATGACAACCAGAAGCAACACTAGAGATTAGTTCAGATCCTGACATTACTCCATGACTACCAGGGGCAACACTAGAGATTAGTTCAGATCCTGACATTACTCCATGACTACCAGGGCAACACTAGAGATTAGTTCAGATCCTGACATTACTCCATGACACCAGGACAACACTAGAGATTAGTTCAGATCCTGACATTACTCCATGACTACCAGAGGTTAGTTCAACACTTAGAGATTAGTTCAGATCCTGACATTACTCCATGACAACCAGATCCTGGCAAGGACAACACTAGAGATTAGTTCAGATCCTGACATTACTCCATGACAACCAGGGGTAACACAAGAGATTAGTTCAGATCCTGACATTACTCCATGACAACCAGGACAACACTAGAGATTAGTTCAGATCCTGACATTACTCCATGACAACCAGGGCAACAACACAGGAGATTAGTTCAGATTCAGATCCATGACATTAACTCAGATCCTGACATTACTCCATGACTACCAGGGGCAACACTAGAGATTAGTTCAGATCCTGACATTACTCCATGACTACCAGGGCAACACTAGAGATTAGTTCAGATCCTGACATTACTCCATGACAACCAGGGCAACAACACTTAGAGATTACATTCAGATCCTGACATTACTCCATGACTTGACATACCAGGGCAACACTAGAGATTAGTTCAGATCCTGACATTACTCCATGACTACCAGGGCAACACTAGAGATTAGTTCAGATCCTGACATTACTCCATGACTACCAGGGGCAACACTAGAGATTAGTTCAGATCCTGACATTACTCCATGACTACCAGGGGACAACACTTGAGAGGATTAGTTCAGATCCTGACATTACTCCATGACACCAGGGCCAGGACAACTCCATGACAGGAGATTAGTTCAGATCCTGACATTACTCCATGACAACCAGGGCAACACTAGAGATTAGTTCAGATCCTGACATTACTCCATGACAACCAGGGGCACACTAGAGCTTAGTTCAGATCCTGACATTACTCCATGACAACCAGGAAAACACAGGAGATTAGTTCAGATCCTAACATTACTCCTTGACAGCCAGGGGCAACACTTGAGATTAGTTCAGATCCTGACATTACTCCATGACAACCAGGACAACACTAGAGATTAGTTCAGATCCTGACATTACTCCATGACTACTCCATGACAACCAGGAGATTAGTTCAGATCCTGACATTACTCCATGACTACCAGGGCAACACTAGAGATTAGTTCAGATCCTGACAGGCATTACTCCTTGACAACCAGGGGTAACACAAGAGATTAGTTCAGATCCTGACATTACTCCATGACAACCAGGGGCAACACTAGAGATTAGTTCAGATCCTGACATTACTCCATGACAACCAGGGCAACACTAGAGATTAGTTCAGATCCTGACACACTACCAGGGTAACACAAGAGATTAGTTCAGATCCTGACATTACTCCATGACTACCAGGGGCAACACTTGAGATTAGTTCAGATCCTGACATTACTCCATGACAACCAGGGGCAACACTAGAGATTAGTTCAGATCCTGACATTACTCCATGACAACCAGGGCAACACTAGAGATTAGTTCAGATCCTGACATTACTCCATGACAACCAGGGCAACACTAGAGATTAGTTCAGATCCTGACATTACTCCTTGACAACCAGGGGCAACACTAGAGATTAGTTCAGATCCTGACATTACTCCTTGACAACCAGGGGCAACACTTGAGAATTAGTTCAGATCCTGACATGACAACTCCAGGAGATTAACACTTGAGATTAGTTCAGATCCTGACATTACTCCATGACAACCAGGGCAACACTTGAGATTAGTTCAGATCCTGACATTACTCCATGACTACCAGGGCAACACTAGAGATTAGTTCAGATCCTGACATTACTCCATGACTACCAGGGCAACACTTGAGATTAGTTCAGATCCTGACATTACTCCATGACAACCAGGGCAACACTAGAGATTAGTTCAGATCCTGACATTACTCCATGACAACCAGGGGTAACACAAGAGATTAGTTCAGATCCTGACATTACTCCATGACTACCAGGGGCAACACTAGAGATTAGTTCAGATCCTGACATTACTCCATGACTACCAGGGGCAACACTTGAGATTAGCTCAGATCCTGACATTACTCCATGACAACCAGGGGCAACACTTGAGATTAGTTCAGATCCTGACATTACTCCATGATTTTAGCTCATTCTGAACTACTTAGAATCGTAGTACTAGAGACAATGAATTTCGTGTAACATATGTTATATTTGGGATTACACTTTCTTAGTAAAGTACAGATTCTAATACTTTTTGGCATTGTGTATTTCATAGCTTTCGGTCGTGGGAGCCGTGCCAATTAACACTTATCAGAGGGGTACATGTGCTGGCGATTAGGTGCCTGACTCTGAGGGTGTGGGTTCGAATCCCGGATGGAACTCAACCCAAAAAAGTACTTTACGAAGAAAGTGTAATCCCAAATATAACAGATGTTACGTTTAACAACTCGTTTGTATCATTATATTCTGTACATACATGGCCGTGGTCTAATCGAATAAAACAAATCGTAGGCGTTTCAAACGGTTACTTGTAACTTGACAATGCGAGACTTGTAAAGAGACGTGTCTATATTAACGTATGTTGACAGGGAAGTAAGACCAACGTTGCCTGTAGATACTGCCGTAGCCTAAACCTCCACATCGCTCTCCGGCGTTGTGGGAACATCTTTGGTCACACTTCCCTATGTCGGCTTTGGAGAGATTCCCTATATAATCCAGGCATCTGCAGCTTGTTTCCTTGGAAAACAACACATTTATTTGTTTGAATCTGCAAGGACTCGTTTCAGAAAAGAATTGCAAAAGAGTCTGATTTTTTAATATCATTTGATTTGAATTTCTTAATATCACAGGTGTGGATCAGTTCTATCACTCTCAGAACATGTTATATCACACAGTATCATTGTCTTATATCACAGTCTCATAACATTTTTGTGGAAGCCGCGGTGGCTGAGCGGTCTAGGCGTCTGACTTTGTGTGCTGGCGATTAGGTGCCTGACTCTGAGGGTGCGGGTTCGAATCCCGGATGGGACTCAACCCAAAAGAACTAGAATCTGTACTTTACTAAGAAAGTGTAATCCCAAATATAACACATGTTACATTTGGCGACTTTCTAAAATGGCATTGTGTATTTCATAATGAACTTCGTGTTTTGTTCTGAAATAATATACGTGTGGCAAATATTGTATGTATCCTGTCGTTGCTGAGCGCCATAGCATCCACGCCCATAGGGGACTTATGTACTTCGGTACACTCGACCCAAGCTCCAGTACAGCTCGGATATATGGAGTACATGCAAGGTGGTGATACATAAAATATTTTATTTTCATGACATTAGAAATGGACAAACAAACATTATATATAGGCACAAAACAGAACATCTCATATTCATCAGATACCTATTAATTATCCGTTATTCTAAATCTCATTGAGAAATTCTTACTATAAACGGTTGTTGTTCATTAAGAGGGGTAGACCTGACGGTGCATCCTCACCACCCGATTGTTAGTTGAATCCCCTTGGTCATAAATAGGTCTGATGAATTCCTCGCGTAGTGAATATCCAGGGAGACATGCATACCTAAAAACACTGTCTGATAATTCCCTGTTTTAAACTTATCATTTTCATTCACAGTTGGACCTTGGAGTGCCCAGCGAAGATCACCAGGACCCCTTCATCAAAAATGGGTCACCCCCTCAGTATGACACACGAATATGACCAGACACTGTTATAGACTCTTCCTACTGTCAACTGTGTAGCATCCAAGAACTTCTTCACTCGTAAAGGTGCAACACCTGGTGTCTTCAACTAATCAACGAGTGTGGTCTATTTGTCGCTTTAATTTCATTTCAAGCGGCTGATGACATGATCGGAACTCCACCGATGCGCCCAGTCATTGGCGTTATTCATGGGAATCTTGCCATACGACGACAGTCTGTAGGCAACTGAAACGAGGCAAGACAGTCTAGTGATGGACCAGATAATCAAATGACACGGTACCTGATTTACTGATTTCCTGAAATAAAAAACACTATGCTACTTCCAATTTACGTCCGCTGTGTACACGTGCAAAACATCTGCTTATAAGTAAAGAAAATTTTAATTTCACATGTTCCTTTATAAACAGCCCGGCAATTTAAAGTATCGGATTAAAAATTATTTTGTGGTAAACTGATCAATCCTATTCAGCTTATGGTGAAACTCGGGAACTTCAGCTAACCGGCAGAAACGTCGATGAGTTCAAGTAAATATGAAAAGCAACATCAACGCCAGAGAATAACCAATTCATTTATCTTCCGAAACAGATCCCAGGGGTGTTAAGGGCAAAATAGGGGCGAAATGCACACGAACAGATCACTAAATATCGGTGATAACAAGAGGTGTTCCCGAAGTCTGTACAAGCATTATGCGCCCTACCCGTAACTTACCTGCCTCTCATACATATGCACCATGTAAATGTTCGTTTAGTGCATACCAATTGTTGTCCTGTTCGGGGAGTAACGGAAGTGGGTCTTTGTAGTATGTCTTTATATAATATTTCCAGATGGAATCTGTTAAACATCAAGACTAATTTATGGTGGTAACTTTTGCTGTGTACGGTTTACACATGACTAATTATAACATCACTCATACCAGTGTGGCATTATTAATAAAGGTGACCAATCTAAATCTGCTTTATGTTATCTTCTTGATATTCCAGCCGCCTGATATCCTGTTGGCACACGTCCGACTGGAACACGATATCCTACTTTTCCTAATATTGCTTGTTTGACCAAACCAAAACGTTACCATACGACATTAGAAACAGATTTAAAATTTGGAAACAAGATTTGAAGCTTCAAACATGGACAATAGTTTTCCTAAATGCCGCACAGTACGAATTTCAACAACCACCTACAGTTCCATTTCCCTACACGAACACCAATTCACCCAGATTGATCAATGGCAGGGACGGGTTGCTGAGTGCGGACTTTGCAGGTGATGATGTAAAATTCATCATATTGCTACCAACTTGTGGATCACGGAATAATGGGTGACTCTGACAGAACAAACTACGATCAGTTATTGAAACATGAACCAAAATACTTTCAGCTGCCTCCTTCACCGTGGGATTACAACCTTCTGTATCAGGTGTACTCTTATATCGTTCACTAGCCACTATGTATGTCCTTCCACTGCGTTACCCACCTGAACTAGAAATAAGAGCTGCAAGAGAAATTGCCACATTTCATTCATATATACTTTTCAGGTGTGTAATCCAAGTATTATATATATAATAGCCACATAAAGAAACTGTGCATTGTCAACATGATAACAATGTCAAAGGTACATATAAACTTTAATGGAGGGATCATGAGACCATAACAAGTCGGGAGAATTTCAACTGAAAAGTCAATCACAATGACGTCACGAGTCCACAAGCGGGACAGGGGTCAAACGACCATGTCACAAGCTCAATAACGGGTATGTCCACCATCGGCATTGAGAACAGCAGTGCATCGACGACGCATAGAGCCTATCAAACGTGCAAGGAAGGCTTGCGGGATCTCACGCCAGATTCTCTCAGGTTCTTTTGCAAGGTCAAAGGCGTTATCCGGCGGATGAGGAAGACGGCGTAGACGTCGATCCATATCGTCCCAAACATGCTCTATCGGGGAGAGACCCGGTGAATTTGCAGGCCAAGGCAGTAAGTCAACGTTGTGGTGTTGCAAGAAATCCATAGCAACCCTTGCCGTATGAGGGCGGGCATTGTCCTGTTGGAATGTTAACCCAGGGCCATGACGTTGCAGAAAAGGAATTGCCACAGGTCGAAGAATCTGATCCCTGTAGCCCACACCAGTTAGGTTGCCCTGAACAATCACCAAAGGAGTTATTTGGCGTGCTGTTATTCCATCCCTAATCATCACGGAACCACCACCAAAGCTATTCCTCTCCAAGACACAGGCCTGTGCATAACGTTCTCCCACACCTCTGTAGGCACGTTGACGTCCATCACTATGGGAAATGTTAAACCTGGACTCATCTGTAAAAGCAACATTTCTCCACCAAAACAAGGGTCTGCGGACATGATTTCGGCACCACATTCGGCGAGCCTGTCGATGACGTTGTGTCAGGATAGGCCGTATGGCGGGACGTCGTGGTGTGATCCCGTGATGACGTAAACGTTGTCGAACTGTGTTGGGATGGATACGGCGAAGTTCTGGGATGGTTCGGGCAGTCATCACTGCAGTCTGAAACCTGTGGCGAAGATGGGTCACCCTTATCCATCTGTCCTGTCTTGGCGTTGTTACACATGGACGTCCAGAACGTGGCCGATCGATGACGTCATTTGTGTTCTGGTAACGTCTCACCAGTGCAGAAATGGTGTTCCGGTTGTCAAGTCAAGAGTGTCCTATGAATGGTCGGTAGGATTTAGAGCTGGATACCTTGAGCGCCATGGCAGTACATGGATGTTTTGTTTCCTAAAAAGGCCATTGTCATAGTGAGTATATCACGTAGGTGACGAACCCGTACAATTGTGATCACAGAGAAATAAAATCCCATAGGTTTCATAGACCAATAATCCACGTTCATTTCTTGTTCTTGTCTAGCCGCCACGCTCTCACGTGGTTGCTTTGTTTGCGTTTCCCAAACTTTTTCGGTATTTTGGGGCCATACTATATTCTACACGCACAAATTCACTCCCGATGCATGCAGACATGAGATTTTGATATCAGCAAAACGCAATCGTTTCCAAGTTTTCTACTTTTGCGTTTCCGCTTTTGCTGAGTCTATATGCATAACGATTCAGATTAAACTGTTTTTTTATGTCCGGCAGTATTTCCGCCTCTGGTATCTACATTAACTGCATCACCAGAAATATCTACACAAATTACAAAGACCGCTATGCAACTCTGGGTAAAAATATTATCACGGTTACCACATTCAAGCATTAGTAATGGTTCCAAACCGGAGCTTCGACTTCTCCACATTACAAGCTTCACTGAACTTATGTCAGATGAAGGGTAGACTCTCCCGTTTGTACCTGGTATCATCACTGTTAGCTTGAGATTGACAAACATATAGAGAATCTCACCCGAGTGTCTTTTGATATAAAGTATATCACCACGAGTTGATAAAGTAACAAATATCCGAGGCTTGCCGAGGATATTTTTACTTTATCAACGAGTGTTGATATATTTGATATCAGAAGACACGACGGTGAAATTCTATTTATCATCAAAAATCACTCTTCATTTTTTTCAACGAAAAATGTACATCTTTGAACACTGGACTGCCATAGGGGGTGTAGGTCTCGCGTATTCTCATTTCCGGTGTCCAACTTCCGGTGACAAACAAACCAATCGGAGGACCGGTTATACAATGCAGTTGCGCTACGTCACATTCGTTCCTATTCGCCCGCCAAGGAGAATGTTGCCAAGTCGTTCTCACCGCGGGAAATTTCGAACGGTAAAAGCATGGTTATTTGTTTCGTGTTTGGGTGTAATCACCGAAGCAATAGGGATTCCTGCAGCTTTTTCAGGTTTCCGGACAATAAACGAAGCCTATGGGGTCGTCTGTCAAGGTAAGATTACCAGAGTAAACGGGTTTAGCATGTTTTTTTCGGACATGTCCGTAGTCGAGTCATCTCAGACCCCTACTGCCGTGCTGACTAAAACGCCTACAGAAATTATGCTGTAAAATGTTCATGTATTAACACATATGTAGTTGGTCAGTTAATGGATAATTCTTTGTGAATAATTCGAATCAGATAGCCATGGGATTAAAATGTAAAATACTACAGTACTAAATTGACTCTTGAGGTTTGATTTTCACACAATGTCATGGATCTCGTGTAGTGAGGCCATACAACATATGCTATTGGAAGTATTTCAACCTTTATAATGGATAGGCTTAATCGGTTTTAATTGTTATTTTAAATCATTCTGTAATTTCAGAAGGCTCGACAGATGCCCAACATCCGAGAATGACAGGATTTGTTCATGTCATTTTGAAGGTGGCACAAAGGATGGTGATCCCATATTTTTCCCCCACAACAAAGGAAAACTGTTTCAGTTCAAGGATCCCAAACCACAGAGGTATAATATTTTGCAGTTAAGACATACATTTGCAATTTAAATGAGTAATCTATAATTAAATTTGTATTTATTTTATTTATTTGTATTTAGGGTATATATTTATCATTATTATATATTTTTCCTACAGAAAAAGGAGTGTGCCTTTGGAGTGCAGTGATGTACCGGCAATCCCACTGGCTCAGAGTCCTGATGTCCAAGCTGAACCTGAACACAATGGAAGGACGGATGTAGTAAGTATTTTTTTCATGTCAGTATAAATCAATGTTTGTTTAAAAAACATATAGCACATTATACTCACTTATTTCATTATTTTTTACTTCTCTAAATCTTTGTGCTGAATTTATTGTTCCAATACCAATATTTGTACCATAGGTGATGGAACATGGTTACGCCATACAGTGTGGAGACCAGTGTGTGGGGAAGCTGACTTCGTTAACCGCTGAAGTCCAAGACTTGAAGGCCACAATAAAGTCCCTGGAGCAGGAAATCCACTCCTTAAACCTAAGGCGTTCAACCTTTTCTATCAACGATATAAGTGACAGTGAAGAAAAGGTTGGTTAACAAATAACAGATTTAAACAGCATAAACAAATGTATATAATAATTTTGTCTTTACTTTCTCATTTATCTCTACCCCTTGGCCATTACAAAATTGAAAATAATGGGAACTTAAGTCACTTGTCATTCTCCTGTACACATTAAAAAAACACTTAAAATGTATAATACCTATTCTTATTAAAGGAGGGCTTTCAGGTGTGCTAATAATATTGTTGCCACTACAATTAAGTTAACAATGTATGTTAAATGCAACCGCAACAATCTAAGTAAACCTCAAATATGTTTATGAGTGTTGGTGTGTGTGTGTGAGAGGAGGTCTGGGTGCTAAATTTTTGAGTACTGGTATTAATTTGAATGTGTGTTTACAGATGCTACTCTACACAAGCATACCCTACGATGTCTTCAAGATCATCTGCTCCATGCTGGAACGCTTCGACCTCAACTACTATGCTGGATGGAAACCATCAATTGTATCCTTGGAAAATCAGCTTTTGCTAACTCTCATGAAACTTACCATGAACAGCAAAGATCTCGATTTGGCCCAAAGATTTCAAATCAGTCGTGCTAAGGTTTCCAGTATCTTCAATACCCTAATCCATGCTTTACATGAACTCTTTTCAGGTGTTATGGATAACTACATGCCCAGTCAGACTAAGTGTAAAGGCAGCATGCCTAAGTCTTTTGAAGATTTTGGTAGTGCTAGGGCATCTATCGATGCTATAGAGATGTCTCAGGATATCCCCAAAGACCTTGACTGTCAAAATAGAGCGTACAGCAACTACAAGTTCCGCCATACTGTTAAAGCTGTGACAGCTGTGGCACCCAATGACGCTCTAACATATTGCACCAGTCTGTATCCTGGGTCAACATCAGATTGCTATTGTTAGCCATTCAAATATGTTGTCTTCTTTCAAACCAGGTGATCTTATTTTAGCTGATAAGGGTTTTACTATTCATGAAATGTTGCCACCAGGTGTAAGTTTAAATATCCCTCCATTTCTGTCAGGTAAGTCTGTTTTCACAAAAGAGGAAGGTAAAATGTGTTACAAGATTGCAAGAGCCAGGATACACATAGAAAGGGCGAATGAGCGCATTAAAAACTTTGATATTCTAAACCACATTCCTGCAATTTATCGCCCTATCTCCAGTAAGATTTTTCAGGTTTGCTGTTTTTTGATAAATTTGCAAGCTCCATTACTCAAAGAAATAAATAAAGATTGAACATTAACAATTATCACCAACCTTTGAAAGAAATGAAAGAACAAGAACACAAAAGATCAATCTGAAGTATATTTTAATATATATTTCACAACTGCAAATATTCAAGTATTTTCATCAATGTATTTCTGAAATCTGCATAAATCAGCCATCTTTTTCCATTGATATAGGTGAGGTGTTTCAAGTTGACTCCTGCTGGGAACATTGCCTGGTTGCCTACCACTAGGGATGGGACGAGGAATCTCTGCTACTAGCTCTAAAGCTGAGTACCTTATTTGTCTAAAATTATCAGATAACAAGTTCGAAATGAATGACATTTTAATACAAAAAATTCACAAAATCCACTATAATGAAGCAATTTTTTGTATGATATATTCAGGGCATGATTCATGTAAACAAGTGTCTTAAGTAAACAATATTAAATGTAATTAAGTCAGTGAGAGTCTATGTGCCTATTACAGGCTCTTCACATATTGATATGGTACATATATTAAAATCACACCATAACTTAAGGCCATTACATGTGTATGAAAAACCTAAGGATACATCTAATCATCATAATAACCCTTTCATAATTTCCAGACATTTACATATAAAATAAAATACTCATGAAAATTCTGGAAACACATAATGCAAGGCTTGGAGTAGATGGTGTGTTATCGCTTCCCTCCATATGTAATAACACATTTTGAATATTAACATACAGTCGAGCACCGTTGTGTCGAACTCTGATAACTCGATATCTCGGTTGTTTCGATGTAACATCTCGGTCCCGGCAAAATCCTTCATGATTAATCATTATTCAAGCTCTTTTAACTCGTTACGGATGTCTCGATATTTCGGATATCTCGATATAATTTCATCGTCCCAACAAGCAATATTACCCTTTTAACTCGATATTTGCAAACAAACTCGATATTCACATACTGCATGGGCAAGTATCCCTCTGAACTGAGGTTGTTTCCACACGTTTACACATGGTGCGGCATGAATCAAAGGGATGTGGTAGTGTAAACTAATTAGGGCTAATTGAGTTGAAGGTGTCACTTGTTTGTTATTAATTAGGATTAATTAAGAAGGAATTAATTAGGGAAGTACTCACTGTTACGACTACACACTACTTATAACGGATTATAGTTTCGAATCAAAACACACTGAGAAGCGTTTTGTTTTCTTTCATAGTGATACGGCCTGGTCGGATGTCTCGAAGTTCGGGTAACTCGATATTTTTCTTGGTCCCATGAACATCGAGACAACGGTGCTCGACTGTACTTTAATTAGATGTAACATACTAAAAAGTGTATTTTCATTTCAGGAACACTGTGGACAAGCTCAAGACACAATACAACAAGATGTTGAATGTATATTAGTTGAATGTATATTATTTTTACAATGTGTCCTGTACAGATACTAATGAAAATAACTTTTTAAACATAATGGATGACTGATTTTCTCACCAAACATTTGTACATTGTTATAGCTAAGTTGTAAAATGAGATCACTTGTAAATAAATACATGGACTGTGGATAAGCACTGAGTACTTTTTGTGGTTGGGCATCTGATAAAGATATGTTCAGTAACAGTTTCCCGTAAAAATAAATAAGTTGATACACGTTACAATGGAAGTTGAAATTTACAATTGACAAACTGTACAAGATTCAAATACAACCATACCCATTGGTTCAGACAAGTTTGTTTCATGATCAACTTACACCATGCCCTAAACAATTAACCATTCAATACAGGTGTTTGGGATCAACCTACCCCTGGGGTATCCAATAACTGTCATGGTGCGTCATGTATCCGCAAATCATGCTCCTTGCATGAAGCCCATGGGTGGTTAACCCGAAACAAAAATGTTTCAGGATAATAATTAAAGGCATTGTTTAAGTTGATACTGAGACAAACCGACCTGAATTTTACAACAAATCATCAATTGCACACTAAAAGAACATAGTCTCTTTTTTCAAAATGTCAGCGTTGTTGTCACCATTCACAATATCTCCATATGGCCATGCTGAAATAAAAAGAAATTTATAATTATAACTTAACATGGGAGATTATTTAATCATGTAACAAAGTTCATCTTGTTCATAAGACAAACCATGAAGAATTGTTTCAGAAGGCATAAAGTAAGTGAACATCTAAAAATATTAGTCTTTTATAAGCCAGAAAATCCAACAGTAATCAATACATTTAAAAAGGGCTACCTAGTTACTGCAAAATGTTTCTTATAAACAAATGATTGTCAGTTAGTAAAGCATGATAAGACAATAATAGGCTACTATGTGTATACAAGGCACTGGTGTGTTTGAAGTGTAATGAAGGCTCCAATAAAAAAATATTTGGATAAAAAAAAAGAATTAGATTATATTTTCATGAAACTCTTAAACATACTTCAATTACAAACGACACAAAAGCTTCATATTACTATAAGATATGTGTAACATGATGGAAACAAGTTGAATACTCAGCTTCGTGTTGCTGTTTATGTTGTGGTGAACAGTCTACTGGTGATCCAGAGCCGATCCTTGGGGTGCTGATACCTTGTTTCAGGATAGCCTTGATCCTTCTTCATATCCTCTGCAGTCACTTGGTCTTCTGTTGACTAGCTACCCACACTAAGACAATATGGTTGGAAAGTACTTGTCATAAAAGAAATCTATCAGCTTTGAGATATTTGAAGCCCATTCTGGATCCGGGTATATCCTGTGTATGAGAAGTCCACGGGGTGTCCAAATGAGGAGGTCACAGCATGTCTTCCCCATGATGTACAGTTGGCCTTGGATCTGGTGGTAGTATTCATGGTCATTTGGCAAAGTAATTCTCCCATCAGTTCTGACTGCAAAGCAATATCATTTCAATAAGTAACATGCCATTTCAATAACAGAATCTTGAGTGTATCTTTATACTATTTTCCCATAACTTAAATAAAAACAAACTTTGATGTTCTTGTTTTTGGCATGTAATTTGACATATTCTATATCAACTGGTAATACACTGAAGAGGTATTTGTAATTTCACAGTACTAAACAAACTTTAAACTTCTGTTAATACCTAAGCAAAAATTCTTTGACCAATGGCATCCAACGGTGGCTTGTCTCTGGCCGAAAATGGACACTTAACTTCGATGATGTCTGGTGGTGGTGTTGCAGACTGTGGAATTGGGGTAACCACAATTCCATCTGGGGAAGCGCCGAGACTTCCTGATTCGTGAAGCCATATGCCTACAACGATGCATGTAACATAAGAAAAAATCCAACAACCAAATTGTTTCTCTTTACACTTTGTTTTTCATTTTTTAAAAGGCAACAATATCACGCCACACATCTCTACAAAGTATATATTGCATTTCTCTCAATAATACTATCAATCCCCAAGGAAGCTACCATATAATTTATTCCAATTAAAATTACGTATTTAGATTACAATATTACAATAAAAAGTTCGACCGAACTGGTTGAACAGTATTTCTTGCGAACCCCATAGAATTACCTCCCTTTGTCCCTTGGAGCACTCTTCATGAATATTGTAAAATTCAACTTGTGATTGAAACCAGTTCACTGACAACACCACCTGCGACAGTTTTCTTGTATATATTTTCCTACCTGTTTCTTCAACCTTAGCCCCAAGTTTACGATATTTGTCAATAGCGTTCCTTTCATGGTTGATCCCCCAAGCGATTGAGTCCTTCTTCTCCAAGTTGTGAGGGGAACTGAGGCGTTTCCAAAATGAAGGTGGGTAGCTGAAAAATTAAAATGATACTTGTACAACTAAAAGATCATGCAATGTATCAACTTGATAAATGCAATGCTCCTTTCATGCTTTTTCACTTCAAACATGTACTGCATGTAATCCCAAATTACCCCAAAAAAGTCATCAATTACATAATGAATGAATATATAATTTAAATGAATAAACCAATTCACACAATATGTATAAAATCAACAAAGTAACAAAACATTACGTACCTGTTTCTTTGGATAGCTCTCAAAATGAATCCAAAGTTTGATGAAGTAATCCTGTGTCTACGTACGATAGACCACATAGGATTGCTTCGCTGGCCTGAGGTAGCTGATGCTATGGTCTTCACTTTCTCTGGTGAAAGGAGAAGGGTCTTAGCCAGAAATGTCCTCTTACACAACGCTTGGATATATCCTGCACTCATAATAACATCCTCAACAGGCTCCCTTTGGCTCTGGTGAGAGTATCCAATGCAAAGCTGAAAGGGGGAAATGAAATTAATAAATGTGGACTTTCACTTAAAACTGGTAGATGTTAGTTGATAACAAAGGAATACTTCCGACTTGTTAAATCTTGTTCATGTTAATTGTTATCATTAAGTATAATAGTTGCAATTATGATTAGGCCTTAAAAAAAGCTTGTTCCGATTTCCCGACCGACCCTAAATATTCCCGCCGAGCCTAACAATTTTACTCACCACATAATAAATTAAATTTATTTTCTGACACATGAGTAATGTAAAAATATATTGCAAAACCACCCCAAAACCTACCTACCTACCCTAGTTCTGAAATGTAGGAAATCGGAACATTTTTTTGTTTGGCCTTACGCTCCTTCCAATTATCTCAAAACAAAACTCAGTTGTTACACCAAATAATTGTGGTCTTTGATTTGAAGCAAAAACAACAGCAAAGAACATGAAGAAATCTTTCCCAATTCTAACATGAAGGTGACAAGAACAAATAAGAAAAACAACAGGTAAAATTCATTCACAATCAAAAAATATAATAACATCAGAATAAAAGGAGAAACATCACACAGTAATATAACACAACACAAATTTGAGGAGACTAATAACCAGTAAATCTTCCAAGCTTCTCCAGTTCACTACATAACTGGTCTCGATCTTCTTGAGTAACCTCTCTATTTAGTGCTCTGTTTAGATAAAAAAAGTAACAGGAAAACATTACTATTACAGATACTTTCATTTACAAACAGCTCATGAGTTGTTACTGAGGTAACTGAAAAACATATATACTAGTCTATTGGATAAAATTGTAAGATTTGGACATTATTGTAATGTTTTCCATGTGGAAATATGTTGGTTTGAGTTACCTGTATCCTGGTTTTCTTGGAGGAAACAGGTCCTCCATAGTTGCAGTGTCAGCCCTCATCTTAGACTTTGGTTTCTTCAGCCGGCTGCACTTAACATCTGTCTTGCTTGCACGCTTGTATCTACAAAGTAAAAGTGAAAACAACAACTCTAAGAAATAACCTGAATTATTGTTTTGTTGTTTACATGTCATTATGACAGCTAAAACTTTATTGATATAAATGCTTAAGTTCATAAAAATATACACGGTACACCCGAGTTTAATAATGGTTCTGTCACTTTCAGCTTGATATAGACTTTCACAAGTAATATAACTGGTATATTTTTCAGCAAATATTATTGAAAATACTGCACAATTTAAAAGAAATATTCTTGACAAATGAACACACATAAATTCAATCACTCACCCAAACAGGAGAACAGCGGCGACATGGTGGCAATAGAAATTACCCATTGGACAATCACACCTGGTCACGTCCGTCCCATAGAGGTCATTTAGTTCAATCTGTAAGTAAACAGTGTACAGTTGGCTTTTGTATTCTCGAAATTATTGGTTTCTACAGACAGACACACGGAACTTATACCTTCTTGATTTCCCAATGAATACTTTTACAACACATTTCATTCATAATAATGTTCGTATTTCGCGCCAAAAATGTAAAGCACTGACCTGCACTCGGTAGGATTTGTCCTTCATTGACGCTTGAACATGGCCTTCTATGTGTCTAAGCTCTGGGTCATATAAAAACCTAAGTACCCGATCGCAGCTTACAGAATTTTCGGACTTGCGAATCAATTTTGGCCTGTCTGCAAATCTATAGTGCAGCGATGTCATAGTATTGTGACGTCATCAAGTTCATGACGTCATAGCATTGTCAGGGCATTGTACAAAATCTACTGTCTGATCTCACACAAGCGATATCTCCTGTGGAACACAGTTTTGGATGATAAATAGAGAATCTCACCCAAGTGTCTTCTGATATCAATTATATCAACAGGAGTTGATAAAGTTACAAATATCCGAGGCTTGCCGAGGATATTTTTACTTTATCAACGAGTGTTGATATATTTGATATCAGAAGACACGAGGGTGAGATTCTATTTATCATCTAAAATCACTCTTCATTAATTTTCAATGAAAAATGTACATCTCTGAACATGGTATTGTCATTACACTTGCAGTGCAGTGATGTCATAGCATTGTGACGTCATCAAGTACATGACGTCATAGCATTGTCAGGGCATTGTACAAAATCTACTGTCAAAACGATATCTCCTAGGAGATATCGTTTGATCTCACACAAGCGATATCTCCTGTGGAACACAGTTTTGGATGATAAATCATGTACCAGTAATCGTACAATGGACACTTTCCACAGACATTTCTTGTGATTATAACCCAAACACGCATGCACGTACACGTGATTGTACATCCGTGGAATAATCTTGAACGCGAATGTTAACTCCATTTCAACTTCCTCATTATAATGTTTGTTCGCAGACAGTATAACGACATACCTTTGTTACTTACGGTAGAACCCAGTTTAATTGCTTCTAACTCAGTGGTTTACATTTAGACGCGTAGCTGACATATTTCCGTCACCAATCTACTTCAAGGACTCCTTACCAGGATGTTTGTACAATATACTTTCTTTTCAGAATAACTCAGAAACAATAATATGACTATCCGTAGGACAAAAACAGCATGCCTAGAATTACTCCATAACGATTGTGCCTTTTGTCCCAATGTACAGTCTTTTCAGGCACGCGTCCACAATACACCGAAACAAAACTATTGTATATGTAATCCTCAGTATTTATATCAAATAACTTTGAAGTAAGGGTCAGTCAGCGTATCCATTTTAACGCCCTTTGTCACGTCAGAAATTGTCTGGCGATGTCATTGAGAGGATAGATAGCTGGACGAATAATTATTCTAACAGACGATCACACATTCGGATGAAATATCGTTCGTTCTATTTGAGAGCAATGCACGGTAAATAACATAAGAATTCAATTACTGTTTGTTTTTCAACAGTATTCCATCTGTCTGCTAATAATAGAGGCTGGTCCACAGAATCCAGTGATTGACATCATGAGCATCGATCTACATAACTGGGACACGATGACAATCTTCAACCACGTCAATGAACACTACGACAACCATGGTTAAAACCATACAGTAAATACATGGTAAACACTGTAACACATGGCTGTCAACACTCGTGTCTATACTATATGGAGCTCAAGGGGCCGCCTCACGCAGGCCCCAGGACAATAGCTGCTTATAGATGGGTGCTGCGGGCACGCCTAAGACTCCCTCGAGGTACGAGACCTGGTACACCCTGATTATGCTTGTAGGTTTGTCAACTCAGGTTTGAGACTGATCTATATCGAGTTGAGGTATGTTGGAAGTTACAATGACTACCTGACACATGACAAACACGCCACTAAACGGTCTCAATGGAGCTGTTACTGTATACAGATAAAGGCATGTAGAAGAACAGGCAAGCCTGATGAAACATCAGCGAATACATCGATATTTCAAAGATGACTGTATATTCGATATCAGAGCAGCTGTTGTGGGTCTCTTGACTGAAACACGTAACTGGTTCTACATACAGAGGGCCGATCAAGTCTCCGTCGAACCACCAACTACAACCTATGCACAGTGGAAATATAACATGCGATTGAATGCCTAGTGACGATGTTTAAAAACAGCTGTCTACTTTCAATGAAACATGGATCTTCACGCCATGCCTAGAATTAAATACAACCTGCATGCTAGCCTGTAATACAAGGAATCGGATAGTGATCAATGTCCACCCTATCAGGGATGGTGTGGATGGTCCTGACACAATGTATAGTTGTATACCATCAGAGAGTGGTGGGAGATGGGGTGTAAACGTCTTGCAGACATGTTTTGTGAAAACGTTCCATCACGTCAGTTCATTCCTATAACATACGTAATCAATGTCGCCATAACCTCACATTCACCATACTCGTACAGTTACACTGACAAAGATCCAACTATTTACAGAAGTGTAGACTTCAAAGTCGGGTATATATCAAATCGGAGCAGATATGTCCAGCACGAAGAAACCTAACCTTAATGCTGCTGTAGAAATGCGGGGATTTGAATTGTCAACACAGGCAAACAGTAGATGTACTGAAACACGGGCGCCGAGAGACGGGCGAGGAAAAGCTATTAAATAATTGAACTCTTTACAAGAAAGTTTTCCCTCATATGTCTTGAAAACCTTCATTGTTATCTGTTTACACTGCCTCCACGTTAGGTGACATTTCACTTACTTCCTGATAGGTGTCAGTATTATGTCCAGCATGTCACATACAACTATACAGGGAGGTGTAGACGGAGTGCATTTCTTCAGTCTTTCAGTGTAATCGTATGATTGATGTTTGAATGATGAAACACATGCGTCTGTCGTTATAGGATCCGAATGCGCCAGCCTCTATATATTATCATAAAGAACAGATATCTATAATAAAAAAAGATCTTAGTGTCGCTTTGGCGATTTCTAGGGCCTTCTCGATTTTAAGGGTTAGTTGTGTTAGGTTCAGCAAAGGTTATTCCCAATCTTTAATTTTGAACTTTGATCGTTGGACTATATTCGATAGCGGTTCTGCAACAACAAAAAAGTAGATGCAGGGCAACGTTCACAGTTCCGGAAGACTGTACTACCAAGTTATACTTTCAGGGAGAACTGCATGTTCACATTTGTCCCGATAACTGATACAGACAAGGAAATAACGGAGATATGAATAAACATCACTTGTATACTGACAGTCTGATGTAGTTGCTTCGTAATACGAAACACCTCACCACTGCGCGATGCTGAGATAACCTAGGTTTTAAGGTCAATCGGCTGGGGCTCCATAGTGATGACACAGGGTGGTTTTCCTGAACTTATCAGCAGTAGAAACTGCTACTGCAAGTCACAGTCAGCATTCTCCCCGTACTACGGGTGTGACTAGGATACTTCAACTCGACTGTTCCGTTTGGCACTGAACTAAAGGTCATTTGTTTTTCTTAAGCCCGAGGGTCGATGTATTCCCAAACATGCCAGAAACAAACATTTTACATGATTATTCGTCAGAAGCTTAAGAAAATTTAAAGAAAATTAGGTTTTATTATGGGACAGAGTACCTGTTCAGTCGCACTTGTAACTACGCAAACAGCAAATATTTGTATTCGAAACCATGTCTGAAAGGATGTCTGTAGAGACCGGGGTTGCCTGCCGTTATCATTAGGCTTGTGGATTTCTTCAACATGTTGGGTATGTTGGAAAGGACTGGGTGATAACAAGTTTTTGTCAAGACATTGTAACCATCATATATGTATATTAATCACTGAAAGTAATAAAATCAACAGCTGATAACTGTGTTCTCCCTGACAACCTAGACACGTCTTTTTCCGGTGAGGCAGCACCAGAGACTATTGTCGTCACGACTGCCCCACATTACGAAGATGTGTCCAAGCGAGCGTCTGTTAATTGATCGTGGGGCAGTGTTATAGAAAGAGATACGGGAGGATAAAACAGCCCTGCATGCCTCCAGTGTGTTGGTATATGTTTCCTAGGCAGGTGGTAAATGGACGGGTACAGTATCGGACAAACACAAGTGGCACAGGTCCATGGTATGCCACGTCGAAGACATTATTAGAACCACAGCCGAGACATCACCATAATGTGATGACCTTAATTATATTGTTTCGTGTGTTGATAACAACGAATAGCTCTATGTTTACAAACCCAGACATCACCATAAGGTGATGACCTTAATTATATTGTTTCGTGTGTTTATTACAATGAATATCTCTATTTTCACAAAGGCTGATTAAGTGATGAAAATTATATATTCCACAAAATATCTTGTATATATTTATCAGTTCCCTTCAGTTGAAAGCTAAGATTAATGTAGTATCGTGTGGTTGAATAACATGTTTACATGATTGGCATTTTACACTAACACTAACGGCAATATATTGATATCATGATAGAGTAAACAGGCTGACATGCACAAATATACTTGCTTTTCCTGTGACAAAACGCAAAGTTGACTCCAGTGCATCAACCGTCAGCTACTTGTGTATATAGGAAGTGCTACCTGCTTATGAGTCGACCTGTATCGTATACTACAACAGCTCCCTTCACATACTTCCCACCTTGCTGATGTGTAAACAAGGACAATTCTTTTGTTTGGATATTTTATCAATTCTTGTTTCTGCTCACATGGAATGCGGACTAGAATGTCCATTCGGAGGTGAAACGCTGACCAGTTGCTCACAAGGGTGTGGTTAAAGTTTGTGTGATAAGCGCACCTCCGATTTATAGACACTTGCACAACCCAGAGCACGGCTGAAACACTCGACCAACAGTAAGTCAAGATGAATACACCTCGTTTTTTTATATAAAACTGATAATGGTGACCATTATTTTCATTTTTCTATGAATTCCAGCTGATGATAATCGTCTTTATTTTCTAAAGAGTGTCAGATTCGTTCACATGATAAATAGTACCGTTCTATTTTAGATGTTATCAACTGTGACGTTACATTCAGCGTTCAGCTTGGTTTTTCTCTCTGTAACAGCACGTAAGTAATTTTTACCTCATTATATCATTGTCCTGACATTATTTCATGGAACGATCCTTTTGACGTACTTCTAGTTACAAACCGTAACATAATATTGTTGTTATTGCTCTTCATATTTGGTGAATTTGGTGGCCATTGTGGATGTCACTGAAATATATAGTACACAAGAGTCACAGTCAATGTTCATTGT